TTCGCCCCCAAGACTCTCGAGGAGTGGACCACGAGAGTGTGTGCGCGGCGGAGAGAGTGCGAAAGACGCAGAGAAGGGGCATTTGATTTGAGCGAAGGGGGGAAAAGAAAAGTGCGGCGGTCCGAATGGGAGGAAAGCCTTGGAATTAGGACTTTGAGCAATGTTTAGCAGTATTTTTCTCATGTTTCCTGCGGGCTGAATTCGGTTTCATGGACGGGATAATGACTGCGAATGTTGAGGAACACGTTACTTGGCCGGGAAATGGGCAATTTTTGTGGGTTTTTGGATTTCTTGTGCGAGATTGGGACGATTTTTAAGTCCTAGCATGTTTTTAATGCTAAGAAACGTTATAAAGACTTCGTATTTTGTCCCAATTATACAGTAAAAGGTCTTATTTGAGGCTATTTTTGGTTGATTTAAATTTGTTTTTTTCCTTTGACCCTTTGCCGAATTTTATGACTTTTTTCAAGGCGAAGTTTTGACTTTTTCAAGGCCAATCTTAAACCATTTGTAATTTCCTTTTCTAATAACACGCAAAATCTCAAGGACTTTTGCATTTTTTTCAATTATCATATGGGTCAAGGTGGGACAAAACGACGATGAAATCTTTGTAAGGCAAAACATGAAATAGCTCCAAATTATGACAAAATGATTTGTTATGACTCTACTTTGATCTCTAAAAAAATTATCTTTTGCTTTGAGAGGAAAGCCGAGATATTCAACGATCTTTGCAGCCGAGAGATTGTGGGAAACGAGGAGAGACGGCCTGAGAAAACAAATTTTTTTCTTTGACCAAAGATTTTTGTGTCCCGAGAAACAGTTTTTTTTTGCAAAGCACCAGTAAAAAGCTTCTAGTGGGCCTTAAAAAGTTCTAGACTTACAGTGGCGGGCCTGATCCAGTGGCAAAAACGTACCATTTTGCATCCAGGAAGCATCAAAAAATGTGGCAATATACCTCCAAGTGAAAAAAACTCAGATTTCCAAAGCGCGCCCGCTATTTTTGTGAGGACAAAGGCGCGTCGTTCAAAACGAAGTTTTTCACTTGGAGACGGAAGCATTTTGCCACATTTTTGATACTTCCCGGATGCAAAATGGTAAATTTTTTGCCACTGGATCAGGTCCCCCGCTGTATTTTGTACCAAATTTTAAGCTCTGAGCGTCGTGTCCCTCTCAATTCCACGGTGAATTAGGTCTCCAAAAAACAAATCATATTTCTACGAAAAACGATTTTTTGATGATTTTTGACACATTCGCACAAGCTGTGTTGCACTTTCAGCTCATCCAATTTGCAGCCTCTCCGCCCGACCCCGTTCCCATAATCAACTTCTCGAGGCAGATCTCCGGGGCTGGAAAGTAGTTCAATTCCCAATAAATCTTACTCCTTTGCAGGGTATCACCGAGTAGCGGTGGTGGGCGCGCGACCGCTCGCCCCCTCCCAATTTCAAGGCCATTCCGCTGCCATTATGCTCACCCTCTCCCACTCACCCCGTCTTCGCGTTTTATTATAATTTCAAGGATTCAGAATGTTATCGCCGTTTTATTGGGGGGCCCTGTTGGGGCTGCTGTGGCGCTGTTGTGGGAAATGGGGCTGGTTTTTTTGGGGGGCTCCTCGTGGAGCGACGGCCTTGGCTTGGAAAGGGTTGTTACTGAGCGGCTATTAAAGAGCGAGAGCTACTAGTATTCTTGCTGCTTTGTATGTATGTATGCGACCAAGAGAAAATTCTTTTCCATAGAAGCTTTTTCGAGAGAGCCTGTAAAATGAGGAGAGTTGGTCAGCGAAGAAACGTTTTCCGCTCAAATTCTTGCGAGTTTTTAGTGGGAAAACTTGATTTTTTTGTAGAAATTTTACACTGCATACAGCAAGAAAATTGGAATTTTTTATCCAAAAAATCAAAACAAGAAATGAAATTTTCTTCGAGCTTTGGCATAAAAACCTTGATGAACTTTGGAAAACACGAGCTTTCTATGAAAGGTGTATATGTCATACGTGATTTTAGTTGCACTTCATAAATCTGAAAGCTTGCCATTTTTCTCATTTTTTACTCTTTTTTAAATGCAGTGACGGACCCGATCCAGTGGCAAAAAACGTACCATTTTGCATCCGGGAAGTATCAAAAATGTGGCAAAATGTTTCCCTCTCCAAGTGAAAAAACTCGATTTGCCACTGGATCAGGTCTGTCAGCATACAATTCGGGCCGGGCCGGACTTGTAAAATTTTTAAAGAACGGCCCGGTTGGCTAATTGTAAGGTAAAATTTCTTGCCTAACTTACTGATTTTGGAAATTTTCATTCTGTGAGTCGCATCCTGGCTGGGGTTTTTGGATGCCAAAACACTTGGCACTCTATTTATTTTGCTTCTTCTGGAGGAAGACCAGAATTTTTTTGTCTCTTTGATGTGATCTTGCAATATTTTCGAGTGATCCTCAAAATCGTCATATTTTTTACTGCAAAAGTTCCAGTACTCTCTAATCCCCTAAACAATTTAAATTCCCTTTTCTCCCCCCAAAAAAACTTTCTCTCTCCGCAGCAGAAACAAATGATTTCCCGGAGTTATTCGCCGGTTCATAAGCCACCGTTCGGACCGTTCCGTTCAATCATCCGTCGATGCCTTTCGGGCTTTTTCCGGTTCGGCTTCTTCGCCGGCTGGATCGCATCCCCAAAATTCGCTTTAGTCTTCGGCTTTTGTTTCCACGAGAATTGCTTTTTTTTGTATAAGTTAACGCGTTAGCCGGCTGTTGTACGCGAAAGGTTTTGTTTTGACTTTTAGTTGCAAAAAGTGGGTTTTAGAGTAAAGGCCGTATAGTAATGGTTACTAAACTTTTTATAATGGATGTTGAGGGAGCTAGGGACAAAAGCAGGGCAAGAATTTTTATCAGGAATTTGTAAGATTCTTACAGGGGAAGTACCCCAAGTGCGACGCTCAGATTTTGATGAAAGTTGGCACAAATTTAGATTTTTTTTTTCTAAAATATTTGCGATAATCCTAGCTCGCGCTTTGCAGAAACAACCGAGATTTTTAGATCGAAAGTTGGCGAAAATTTGACATTTTTTGCCGAATTTTGGCACGAAAAGTTTCATACCTATTTCTACCGTGAAGAATAATGTTTCCACAAAAAATCAATCTTTCCCGCGCGAAACCAGCGAAGTTATGGCCAAAAAGTGTTTTTCTCTCTGACCGCTCTCCACGTTTACCGTAATCTCTCGGCGGCAAAGATCGTTCAATATCTCGGCCGCGCCTGCAAAGCGCGAGCTAAAACTTTCAGGAATTGATATTTAGGTTATGCCCGAAGTGTGTGCAAAATCTAAAGCAAATCTGAGCGTCGCACTTGGGGTACTTCCCTTGTTAGCAGAAACATCAAAATTTTTAGCTTAAAAATCGCCTAAAAATCAACAATTTTTTTGAGATTTTTAAATTGAAAATAGCCATTCTATTCCGCTTTCTGAGCACAATCTCTCATCAAAAAATACATCTTTCCGACTCAAAATGCACAGCGATCCTGACAAAAACTGTTTTTTCCGGCCATCTCCCCTCATTTCGTCCTTTCTTTTCTTTTTTCAAGACTTTAGAACCAAAGATTTTTTCGTGGTTAAACAAATTTAAATCCGTAGAAGACGGCCTTCAACCGGATCGGAAGACATTTGCAGGCCATTTATTTTTGGTCACAAAAAATTCAAATGCAGATGGCCAAGAACCGGAAGTCAGGGGGAGACAAGTGCGGACAATTTCCTTATTTGTTTTGTCATCAGACAGGGCTTTGGAAAAGAAGGTTTTTTTGAGGATTAGTTGAGAGGAAGGGCTTTTAATTTAAGGGGCATTCAAAAGCTTTCTGGGCCTTTGAGGACTAGGCAAGTTTTTTGCGAAAAACAAGAAAAAAGTTGTAATTTTTGGAAAAATTTGAGAAAATTGACTTGTAAAAGACCCAAAAAAAGTTAGAAATTACAAAAAAATTCGTATATTTTTTATTTCTCACATTTTCCAATATCTTTTGCCCATAAAATTCAAAGTACATTAGGCCCCACCACGAAACCCTGATTTTCTGGCATTCCGTTCAACTCAATTAAACCAAACTTTTTACGATTTTTATGGCTTCTCCGACCTGGCTTGACCCCATTTTGCCCATTCTCCGATGACATTATCGACTTGAAACGCTCCTCAAACACGCTGACTCAACGCGGCTTTGTGTGTCATCACTGTTAATATGATAATGTTTGTACAATACGGGAACATAATCATTTCTTTCTTTCGCTTTTTCTGGCCCTGCAAATTATGTTTTGGACGATGAGTCAGGCGAATTGCCTGCGGGGTTTTTGTGGAATGACCATCTGGACGAAAGGCAATGTAATGGGAAAGGAGAAGGAAAAAATTCAAATTTTATTGGTTTAGCATGCAAAACATGGCAAAATAAGCTCGCTTTCTTCTTTTTCAAACAATACAAAAGGTTACTGTAACAAGATTTATTCGATATTTTTCTACGTTTTTTGAAAAAAAAATCAAAAAAATCGGCGAAAAAACGATTCTCTTTCTTTTTCGTTTTGTTTAGGCCGACTTGCAGCCAAAAACTAAAAAATAAACGGACTATAAGATAAGATCAAAGGGATGACTTTCAAAAAGCGTCCCAAATCCTTATGTTTTGACTTTATTTTAACGGATTTCAAGATATTTTTGGATAAAATTTGGGATTTTTCTCAAAATTCTTTCTTTTCTAATAATATTTTTCGTATTTTAAGAAAAACAATTCATGCTTTTGTACTGAAAATTTTGTCATTTAAACTTTTTACTCATATTCAAGCCTATTTTTTCATTTTTTTATTTTTACATCTTCACCAATTTTTCATTATTTTTTTTTATTTTTCGCGCCCTTGAAGACCGTGTAAGATCTTGATAAGCCCCTTGATTCATCGTGTTTACCGTTGAGCTCTAATTTTCTCGACTCTTGCAGCCATATGACCTCAAACTCAGTGATAACGTAACAATCTCCAAACCTATTGTGACATCTCCAATGTCACCCCGGAATATTGTGGATGGTCAGAATGGAGTGTCATACGAGGTGATCAAGCGGCTCGGAAAGGTGAGAACTCTTGATCGAGAATATCTTCAGCGTTTCATCAAAATCTATGCGGCTTTTATCAATATTTATTACATCCTCGCCGAGAGAGTACACGAAGTGCCGAGAGCGGTCAGAGAGAAAAAATAATTTTTGGCCATAACTTCGCTATTTTCGTGCGGAAAAAATTGATTTTTTGTGAAAACATTATCCTCTACAGCAGAAAGCGATATGAAATTTTTTGTCCCGAAATTCGCTAAAAACTTTCGCATTTTTTGTCAACTATCGACCTAAAAATCTCCGTCATTTCTGCAAACCGTGACCTAGGAGTCTTGCTTATGCCATAGAAAAAAGTATTCTAAATTTGTGCCAACTTTCATCAAAGTGTCAGCGTCGCACTTGGAGCACTTCCCTTATAAACAAGAATATCTTTTCCAGGGCTCCTTCGCCACCTGCTACTTGGCCAGCACTCGATTCCACACATCCGTCGATACTCAATTCTTTGCCATCAAAAAATTTGCTCAACGAAACCAGCACGAACATGACATTCGATTTTCCAAGATCTGGAATGAAATCGTGGTTCATGGCAGACTTTCGGACGAATATCGTCATCCAAATCTAGTCTCAATGCTGGCTGCGTTCACTTCGGACGAGGGGGACACCTGCATGTTGTTGGAGTACTGTCCGAACGGGAACTTGAGCGACTTTGTGGAGCAGCAGCCAAGTAAGGAAGGATCAATAGATTTAATTTATCCAGAGATGGCAGAGGCCGGACCGGGCTTTGGAAATTTCGGAATGGGCCGGGCCGACCGCTTCTGGGACGGGCTTGCGGCTTTACCTAAGTTTCTTGGCTGGGCTTCAAGCTCGAGATTGCAAATTTTATGCCCTCCCCTCCACGGAAAAAATTAAAATGGCGGGAAAAATCTCACTCAAAATTATTCAAAAAAATTTTTTAGTGACCGGGCCTGAAAATCCTCAAGGCCGGGCCATAGGTCACTACGGGCCGTTCTTTGAAAATTTCGAAAATGGCCGAGCCGATTTTGATGAGGGATGGGCCCGAAAATTCCAAAATCCCGGCCCTCTAGCCATGTCTGAATTTATCACTGTTTGGCCAAAATTTTTCATTTTTTCACCAAAACTCTCAATTCCATCGCTAACAGCAAAACTTTCAGAATGCTCTCTCCCTGAGCCAGATGCCGCTCGCTACCTGAAACAACTTCTCAGTGCTCTAGATTACATCCATTCAGTCCACGACGTGCTCCATCGTGACATCAAGCCAGGAAATGTCTTACTGACGAACCATGCCAGAACCGTGAAACTGGCCGACTTTGGGCTGGCCTGTACCGCCGAAGACGCTCGCCGTCGCGCTTCCGTCTGTGGCACCCCAAATTACGTAGCGCCAGAGACTGTTTTGTACAAAGGACATACGTACGCCTCAGATTATTGGGCGCTGGGATGCACGTTTTATTTCATGCTATGTGGACAGACCCCATTCCAGACCTCGTCGATAAAGGGAACTTATTCGAGGATCTGTCGGGGGGATTACGGATATCCCAGGAATTTCGGCGGATCCAGAAGAGCGAGAGATTTCATTGACAAGTAAGCGATACGGGTAAACAAGGGAATTCATCATAATCAATTTTATTATAAAAATATCAAAAAAAATATAAAAAAAAATCCAAAACAATGTCACCAATTTTTTATGTGTAAATTATGTCAAATGTTAGTATTTTCATAAAGTGACTGGACAATTTTTCTCTTTCGAACAGTGCATTTTGAACTTTTTCCCAGGCTTGTCGCTTATGCACCGTGCATCTTCTCTTTTCGCACAGTGCAAACCTCAAAAACAGCCGTTTGCACTGTGCAAATTCCTGGCGCCGACGCTGCGACAAAGGTGAAAAAAATTCAGGTCGCGGCGATAGTTCAAATGCACAGAGCGAAATCGAAGAAAAAGGCGAAATGCACGGTGCAAAATCATGGCTTTTTGTGCACGGTGCAGGACTGCGACAAAATGTCAATAGGCTTGATCAGTCTGTCGGGAAAATAATGGGCGCTCTTTCGCATGGAAAATCGCATCGTTGCCGAGAAAATGAATTGTGTCACGGCAAAATCAAATTGTTTTTTCACTTCAGCGACACCATTGGCGCAGCGACATCGCTCATTATTTTCCCGACAGACTGTTATGAAAATACTAAAAGTTCGACGATTGGGGAAACCCAAAAGTAATACTTTTCTTCGATGCAAGTGTCGAGATTAGGTTAATCGATGGTGCTGATTTCGAAAATGACATTCATTTTTTTTGATTCTCACTTGAAAAGATTTAAAAAATTACTACTTTACAATACTACTTACGGAAAAAAGTAACTATTAAAAAATGAATGTCATTTTCGAAATCAACACCTTCAATGCTCCTAATTTCGACCTTGCATCGAAGAAAAATAACAATTTTCGTTTTCCCCAATCGTCCCAATTCCTGAATAGGCGCCTCATTTTTTAATCAAAAATTTCCCAAAAACTTCCTTGTGATTAGAAAAATATATTCTTGTTTCAGAGTTCTCCTAGTCAACCCAATGCATCGAATGAGTATGCGAGAGATGAACGAACACCCAGTCCTCCAAATGTTTCGTCGCAATTCCCTCACCAATCTCCATCAAATTGACCAACTCTACGATTCTTCCCCATCCCATTCCAACGGGTCCTCACATTCCGAACATTCCCCACCGATCACTCCGAATCCCCGAAACATCAATCGCTGTCAGTCGATGTACGACGTCAACAACAACGGGATCGAGCCGGCAAGTCCGCAACGCTCTTTCGCCGACTCACAACTCGTCACAATGGCCTTGTACTGCAGTTGTTTGACAGAGGCGTGGGAGGAGCAGGGGGGATTAACGGTAATTCCGAGCGATCGCCCGTTGCCGCATAATTATGTTGCCAAATGGGTGGATTATACGAACAAGTTTGGGTTCGGAATCATGATGAGGAATGGAGTGAGGTCCGTCTTGTTCAATGACGACTCGGTTCTCACCACAATGTAAGGAAAAATTTTAAAAATCCGAAAAATTATGTTGTAGTAGGTCTAGAGGAAATTTTTAATCAAAAAATATATTGGAAAGCTAGTGAAAGCAATCGCTATCAACAAAAATTATCGCAAACAGCTTGCAAATTCTCTAAATGCCCTAAAATACTCAAAATCCAAAATTCAGACCAAGTTTTATACATTAATTTACCCTCTCCTTACAGTGACGCCGAGATCTCCGTATATCACCCCTTAAAGTCCCACAAATCCGCGAGCATAATCAGCAAAGACGACACACTCAGCCAGTCAATGGAAGCGAAGATCCGATCACTCCGATACGTCAAGAAATACATGGACACGGAGCTGAATTCCGCCGTCCCATTGATGGAACCAAGATCGGTTGATGCGGTTCCATTATGTCGAGATACCTACGTTACGGACATAATCAAACTCAACGACTCGGTGGTTTTCGTCCTTTCCGACGAGGCAATTCAGGTGAGCAATTCGTTTTCTTCGTTTTCGCAGTTTATTTTTCGAATAACAAGATTTTACGGGAAATTGGCAAAAAATATTGGCTCTTTGGCATTCTGTTTCACTTTGTTTTTGTTATAATTTTTTTGTCAAAAATAATATTTCTCCTTGTTTTCAGATCAATTTCACCTCGTTCCGGCTGAAAGTCGTCCTTCAACGTGAGAATGATCAAGTCTTCCTCAACACCGTCTCTCCCAATGGTGTATTTTCCTTCGGAGTAGTGGAGAAGTCCCTTTCTCCAATCCAACCGCCTCCACTTTCGCCCAACTGGGTCCCCATGGTGCTCGATACAGTTCAACAAGTGATGGAGCGCTTCTCTCTGGCTAGACACTCCACCAAATGTTAATTTACCTTGGTAACTTTCAGGTTTTTCGTTTTCTTGGTTTCTCAAGTTTAGGCCTTTCTTCAACACATTGCCACGACTGTAAATTACCTGTAAATATGTTGTTCTTGGTCTTCGCCTCAAGTTCACTCTGGGTCCACACTGTCTAAGTGCATATCTTGTATTTTGTAAACGAAATTTGCCATTTTCCAACAAAAACTGTTCAGGTCTTCGAAATGCTTATCTACTGTAAGATTGTGCCAAAAGTAACGCAATGTTAAGGTCAAATCAACCTGAATTGATTTGTTTTTGCTCCACATGACTAGGCTATACGGGAATTCGGGCATGGGGATTGAGTTTTGTTTGACTTTACCTATATTGTAGTAGGCTAAAGTAATATAATCGTATCTGCAGCCTTTGCTTCGGTTCCAAAGCCAAAAGCTTGGTCAAGCCTTCTGCTCTCATTACTTAATAATTGCTTCAACAATCTAATGGGTTCTACTTTGTTTTGCCTTCATTAAACTTATTCTTGTTGATCTAATAAATATTATGAAAATTATTATCCTTCCTCTTGGTTACGTGTAAATTACTCGTTTGCTACGTTCACTACTACCTAATTAAGGCATTAAACAGCGACAGGAATGAATAATTCAAAAGTTATGGGAAGAATGACCTTATCCTTCAAAAAGGGACTCGATCTGAACTGTTATTGATGTTCTTTATAAAACTTTGCGAGAGAATTGATGGATTTTTGGGTGAAAACAATTTGCTTTGTAATATTTCGTCTAGCTGCATCTTTCCGCGACCGCAGATTGATCGAAAACTATGGTTCTCTTATCAATTTCCGGCAACAGATATTAATTTAGATAAAAAGTAAGTGGTTTTCCTGTCATTTTGAGTTTTAGGTAGGAGTGAGCTCCACGTGACGTCAGGTTGCAGTTCGAAATCAACAACGGGGTCTTATCGTTCAAGGGCAATCACATAATCTGATCGACGTCCTCCCCCGTTTTTGGTCAGAACCTTTGAAGGTTGTCAGATTCCTCTTCGAAAAGGGCGTTGATAACTGTTTCGAGTGTTTTTTCGCTCTTTGATTTCGCTTTTGATACGTGGGTTTGGCTTCTTTCCCACAAAAAATTTCGGGCGGCAATGGTGTTTACCTTATTTTCGTGTTTCGAAAATAATTTTTTTTTCGGATGAAACTTCTGTTTTTGTTTGGAACTTTTTTGTTATCGTGATGAGCAATGTTATTTCCGTCAAAAAAACAGTATTTCAGCGTACCTCACTTTGTTGTGATCTCATCGAAAGAAGGATGTCCGGTTATATTGGCTCAGGGTAAGAAAATGTTACGCTTTTATTCGATTTTACCTCAAAACGCCAAAAAAATTTTTTTGACATCAAATTTTAATGCGATTTTCTTTTCAGCCCGTCTTCTAAATCGCTAGCCGATGAGTTGGACTTCGCTGTAGATGAAGTTCGACCCTTTGTCAGCGAGTTTGAGAAGTCTACGAAGCTTGAACAAGGTCCAGAGCTGTTTTATGCCAATCTCATCACTAAAGAAGGTAAATAATTTTTTTGGCGTGATGACTTTTCGGGTCAGCGACAGTTCGGGTCAACGATTCTATGAATCGTGTCGGTTCGTTGTTGTATGCATGGGAGAGGCTAGGAGAAGGCTTAGTTCGTAGAAATAATAAGATTGACCGGGTCCTGGGATAGCTTATCACCTATTTTTAGGTATTTTACATGTATATCAAGACGAAAGTTACGGATCTTCATTTTTTGCCGCAAATTTTGGAGAAAAAGAAAGTTAACACTAGTAATAGCTAATCTTAGAAAAAGTGGACATATTTCAGGTCTTCGCCAAGTCTCCGCCGACCATCCACCGGCTTTGCCAGACCTCGTAGGCACTTCCTGCAACCTTTTTTTGGGTATCCACCTGCCCTACGCCATGCAGTGGGGGACCTGACCCAGTGGCAAAAAACGTAACATTTTATATCCGGGAAGCATCAAAAATGTGGCAAAATGCTCCCCTCTCCAAGTGAAAAAACTTCCTTTTTTAAGAACGCGCCCTTTTTTCCACACAAAAATAGCGGACGGGCTTTTGAAATCTGAGTTTTTTCACTTGGAGAAGGAGGTGTTTTGCCACATTTTTGGTAATTCCCGGATGCGAAATGGTACGTTTTTTGCCACTGGATCAGGTCCCCCACTGTAGGCGTAGGGCAGGTGGACACCCAAAAAAAAGGTCGTAGAAAGTTCGTACGAGGCCTGGAAAAGCAGTTGGATGGTCGGTGGACGCTTGGCGGAGACTTGAAATATGTCGACCCGAAAAGTCGGGACGCGTTTTTTCACCTTGAACTTGCCTTTAAACCATTCTAAACCCCATTTCCAGGCAAAACCGCGACCATCGAGCTGAGTGTGCGCGGCTGGAGAATCTGCTCGACCAACCATAACGAGCCCTCGGGGGAGATTGGCGACTTCCCCAAGGACACCTACGAAACGCTTTCCGCTTTGTTGACAACGATCTCAGACGGATACAAGGAGGCATTCGCCGGATCTCTCGTCCAACGACTCGAAGAATTGAGCAGGGAAGAGGACAAAGAAGGCCAGCAATGACAAAAACTCGCATATTCCAGGAAATTTCCCCGTATTTTTGTATTTTTCGACGCTAAAACAGAGATTCATAATATATTTTGGTGTATAGACGGTAATTTGGAAATTAAATTAAATTTTAAGAGTGTTTTTCGGAGTGATTTTGCCTTGAGTAATATAATTTTTGTAAAATTTTAAAAAAATTAAAAAAATTTTTTTTGAAGTTGAAACAGAAATTGGATGAACTTCGATTTTCATTACTTTTCTTGGCTACCGGTCGGTCGAAAAAGTATGAAATTAAAATTTGGGATAGGAAATGAGAAATGCAGGAGAAAAGCCTTCACAATCGCAAGGAAATTGTTCAAAAGAAGGACTTGCAAGATAACCACGAGTATCTTGGTGAGTTTACTTGAGTTTTCGCCGCGAAATAGGGATTAATTTACATTGTAGCAAGCAAAAGTTCGATTTTTTTAATTTTTTAAAAATTTTTTGCCGTTTTGTTGATTTTTCTTCAAGTCAAACTTCTTAATTTGCGTTTCTTTTCAGACTGCGGTCCTTCTGATCGTTTCCACGGCGTTCTTTTTAATTTTTCGTAGGCATGAATACTACAGTCACCACATTGTTCGACTTGAACGGGAAGACAAAATCTTCGAATATCGAAAGAGCCAAGAGCCCACATTGTACGCACTCTGCAGCTATATGGGCTTTACCGAGCTGAACATGGACAGCTGCAACCATCATTGCGACATGAAGGCGGATATGTGGCGAAAAAGGCAGCTGATGGACTTCGAAGGGAATGAAAAGTTGGCCTTCATGGAAGATTGCCCACCAATTTTGGATATTGTGGGTTTTTGGGAAGTTTAAGATGATCCGCCGTTATTCTCCCGACAGACTGATAATTGCTTTTTCTCGAAAAGGAAGAAGAAAGATAAGAAAATGCTTTTTATCGGATAGTGACATTTCGTTTTGAACGAATCACCAAAAAGGGGCGGGAAATTTTTTTTTGTATTTTGGATTGACGTGAAGCACCATTTTGCACAGTGCATTTTGGATTTTTTGCCTTACGTCGCCGCGATTCGAATTCCATCGATTGCGACCCCGCACGGATTGCGACCTCGCATCGATTGCGACCCCGCATCGATTGCGACCCAAAATGGGGTAAAGCGACCCCGGGATGAAAATTCTTTGATTCTTTTCGGGAAAAACTTGCTTTAGGGGTTTCCGAGGGTGCTGATTTCGAAAATGATGTTCATTTTTCCTCTAGTATTACATAGTACTGTCTGATACTATATAGTACGAAGTAAAAATAAGTGTACTAAGCACCAGAACAACACCACTAACGCCTAAAGGCCAACTTTACACCTCGTACTACATAGTATCAGATAGTACTATATAGCACCAAGTCTTTAAAACGTGTTTTTGAAGAGTACTAAGCATCAAACCAACACCATTAACGTCAAAAGCCATATTTTGACTTCGTACTATATAGTATCAGACAGTACTATATAGCACCAAGTCTTTAAAACGTGTTTTTGAAGAGTACTAGGCATCAAACCAACACCATTAACGTCAAAAGCCATATTTTGACTTCGTACTATATCAGTACTATGTAGTACTAGAGGAAAAATGAACATCATTTTCGAAATCAGCACCCTCGAAAACCCCTAAATCGAGTATTTAACGTCAAAAGCGATATTTTCACTTCGTACTATATAGTATCAGACAGTACTATGTAATACTAGAGGAAAAATGAACATCATTTTCGAAATCAGCACCCTCGAAAACCCCTAAAGCAAGTTTTTCCCGAAAAGAATCAAAGAATTTTCATCCCGGGGTCGCTTTACCCCATTTTGGGTCGCAATCGATGCGGGGTCGCAATCGATGCGAGGTCGCAATCGAGCGGGGTCGCAATCGAAGGATTCCCCGCGATTCCCATTTTTTTGCAGCGACAAATCATTTTTTAGAACTGGGATGTTTGGTTAAAAGTACGATTGGGAAAAGTGTTATTTTTTTCGATGCAAGTGTCGAAATTAAGATAATCGAGGGTGCTGATTTCGAAAATGACATTCATTTTTTTGATCTTTACTTTTTTCCTTTAGTAGTACAGTAAAGTAGTAATTTTTTGAATTTTTGTCACAAATACTTGATTTCGGGGTGCTGCTTTAAAATCAGAAAAAATGAATAAGATTTTTGAAATATTGAAATCAGCAAGGTCGAAAACCCCCAAATCGAGTATTTGTGAAAAAATTCAAAAAATTACTACTTTACAGTACAGGGTGGGCCACTAAAACCTTCCGTCCTCTTTTTTTAGATTTCTCCGCGGAGACTCCGCCGATTTTCATGAAATTTAGGTTTTTCTGGAGCTGAGATTCGCCATTTTCAACCGATTGAATTTCAGGAAAAAACATTCTGAATTTACTTTACTATGCCTTCCCGAAGTTTTTGAAAATTATTTTCGAGCCGAAACCGCTAAAACTTTGAAAATTTTTGGAATGATTTTCAATTTCCTTTCTCGGACTTGGAAAATTTCTGGCTTTTTTTGGTAAAATTGTGGAGTAAAAAGTTCCGTACGCTTTCTCTAGACTTTGTTTAAAGCAAGTTAAAAGCAAAAAAAGTGTTGTCTGTATTACCGTTAGGGTATGAATGTAGAAGAAAAAATTTTTTTTTCAACAAGAGTGAAAAAGTCCACATTAAGGCTACAAGCCATGGCTTGGCGCATTGAGGCTTGGAGCCAGGCTCGATTGAAGTTAAACCATGCTCACGGGCAATTGCGAGCTGTTCTTAACTTTCAAAGCCCCTACAAGTTCGTGCTGCAAAAGGAGGTGGACACGTCGAAATCAGATAGAAATATTAATAATCAAATTGTTAAAAAGATTAGTTTTTACAACAGTATTTTGCAAATATATGAGGCAAACCAAGTAAGATTTCACCCAAAACCCCGAAAAAATGACCGAGTTTTCAAAATCATTCCAAAAATTTCCTAAGTTTTAGCGGTTTCGGCTCGAAAATAATTTTCAAAAACTTTGGAAAGGCATACAAAGGTCAATTCAGGATATTTTTTTTTTCAAATTCAACCTGTTGAAAATGGCGCATCTCAGCTCCAGAAAACCCTAAATTTCATGAAAATCGGCGGAGTCTCCGCGGAGAAATCTAAAAAAAGAGGACGGAAGGTTTTAGTGGCCCACCCTGTACTACTCACGGAACGAAGTGACTATCAAAAAAAAATGAATGTCATTTTTGAAATCAGCGCCCTCGATTATCCTAATTTCGACACTTGTATCGAAGAAAAATAATACTTTTCGGTTTCCCCAATCGTCTTTTTTCCCAATCGTTTTTTTCCCAATCGTCTTTTTTCCGAATCGTCCAACTCTGTATTTTTTTCAGAGTGTGACGGAATTCATCTTGACTAAAATTAACACGAATTTTTTTAAGTATTTGTTTTACTTTTACGTTTTCAGCAAAATTGCGACGACACCTCGATTTATTGTAACAACGAGAAGAAGGTTTCCATAGGATGTCCGGGAACTTTTGGTCAGAAAACGTTGGATGTTTCGAGTGACAAAACTCGCCAACATTATGTAAGATTATTTGAAAGTTTGGTTTTTTTTTTGAATTTTAAGAATTTAGATTTTAGTTTTGAAAATTTTGTTGTAAATGTCTTCTAAAAAGTGATAGAGATCTGAAATTTGGCATAAGATTTTTTCCAGGTCCCAATGGCAAATCCCAAAATTTTGTTTGCTCAAGGTCGGAAGTATGTTCGAGCAGCCGAACTCGTCGTCAGATGTCCAACTTGCGAGCGAAATGACGAGAAATATATCAGAAATGGGGACAGCTCCAAGGTGTTCAAGATGATCAGTTTTGTTCGAGAAGGATTCCCCGCACACCGAAGTTGTTCTCCATTTGAAAGAGACAATCGTACGGGAGCAGGCGGAATTGTGTTTGATGATGAAAAGATTGCGAGTATTGCAGAGTACGAGAGGAAAATGGGATGCCTGTATGGGCTGGAATGCCGAGATCTTTTGCCCGATCTATTCAACGACTTCGGTGAGATCTTAGAAAGTTTGTGGGAATAATACATTTTATGATAAACATGATAAACTATGTCCTGGAAAAAAATCTTGAAATTTATTGAACCGGAGTTGGACAATTGGGGAAAATGAAAAGTATTATTTTTCTTCGAGGCAAGTGTCGAAACTAGGATAATCGAGGGTGCTGATTTCAAAAATCACATTCATTTTTTTTTTACTTTTTTCCTTAAGAAGTACTGTAAAGTAGTATTTTTTTTGAAGTTTTTCCATAAATACTCGATTTAGGGGTTTTCAATGGTGCTGATTTCGAAAATCTTATTTTTTTCTGATTTGAAAGCCATCAAAAACCCCTAAATCGAGTTTTCATGAAAAAATTAAAAAAATTACTACTTTACAGTACTACTTAAGGAAAAAAGTAAAGATCAAAAAAAAAATGAATGTCATTTTCGAAATCAGCACCCTCGATTATCATAATTTCACACTTGCATCGAAGAAAAATAATACTTTTCGGTTTCCCCAATCGTCCAAGTTCCTTATTCAACGTGCAATTTTCAGATGTTGATAAGATGTTGTTGCAAATTGAATTTGTATTTTTGTAAGGCTCATGGAATTTTGAGTTCGAAATTCTGTCCAAAAAATTGAAATCGACACTTTGCAATGGCAGGCCTTTTGCAATATGGGGCGTAGAGTAAAATTTCGCTACAGAAGTTCACTTTTCGTAATTGTAAGCAAAAATTGGAATGTTACAGCCTAAAACGATTTTCTGTCTGACAGACCCTCCAAATTCTACGTACCCTCTTGCAAAACTATCGTTGAATACCTCGGATCTGCTTGGAAAGTGAGAACTAAAATTTTGAGATGTTAATACGTGGCATGTGCATAAAGACTGTGAAAAAACTTAAAAAAATTGACAGATTTGTCGCTATCTCACCTCGAAAATTTCCCCAATTGAAAGTTCACACCTTGCGCTCCGGAATTTGTCACCTTGAAACCTAATGACATCCCAATAGCTTTTCCAAATGTCTTGAGCTTATAGAAACGGGGCTCGAAAAGAGGCTGAAGATTTAATGAGAGCAGTGGAGAAAAACTTGTCATAGAATCGGAAAGAGGTCGACGAATAAATGACGGAAAAGGTAACCACACTCTTGTGTGGTCCGTTACTCGACAACCGCCGGGAAAATGAGTCAAAATGTAAGTGATTTACAGCTGAATTTTGTTCAAAATTTTTCTGTGTAATCTTTGTACGGTACTTCGCAATTCCTGAAAATTTTGGCGGCGTAGGAATTGATACGTTTTTTGGGAGAGATCACGGGGAATGAGGAGTTGGTCATACAAAAAATGTCCATAACTTTCAGGGTTTCTCTAATGGAAAAAATTGATTTTTTGATAAAAAAATTGACTCTTCGATTCTAATTTTGACAATTTATATATAACCTTTTCAAGCTCAAAGTTGCAAAAAAGATGATGATCTCTGCCGATCCTCAAAAAAGATGAATTTTTTTCGCGTCCCGACATTTTGGAGCGCGCAGGTCGGGTCAACGACACTTTGGGTCAAAATACCGTTTAATATTTTCGCTTCGGGACTGGGAAAAAAGAACTTTTTGGTACCTGTTACTCCAAGCCCCATAGAAGTACTTTCCTTGTTAGGATAATGACGAAGCACATTACTTGGTAATCCTATACAACGCTTTCCTATCCAGAGGCTGATCTTATGTGACTGCAAATGTCCCGCGAAACCTCTAATATCGAAAATGATATGACATGTCCCTTATCGGATATTTGTTCCCCTTATACGACCCTAAAGTTATACCAACTCCCACTACATTATTTCCTGAATAAACACCTTTATCACATTAGAAAAAATCCACTCAAGTAAAAATCCAAACTCAAGATGTATATAACTTATAATTTATTTATTTGAATATATACATATATGATAACAATTTTATACAATTTTTGCACAACAAAGGTTTTTCTAAATACTATACAATAATATTATACAACTAATAAAATATTGCAAAACTTCTGATATGACGAGATCATTGTTTAGTCGACTTCTTCAACAGTGGGACCACTGGCTTGGCCACCGAATCCTCCACTTTGTTGGCCACAAGTGCTGGCGCCGCCTTGAGGTTGTTGATGGAGTTTGGAGAGGATCTTGGTGCAAATGTTCTGAGCTTCCTTCATCTGATCTTCGTACTCTTCCTTCTCTGCCGTCTGGTTGTTCTCCACCCATTGCAGAATACGATCACAAGTTTCCTTGGCCATTTGTTTGTCTTCTGGAGCCAGACGATCGCCATGTTCATCCAAGGATTGCTTCACTTGGAAGAGGTAGGCCTCCAGACGGTTGCGGGCGTCTACTCGGTCTCGCTGACGGCGATCTTCTTCCTCGTATTGCTTGGCTTCATCTAACATTCTCTGGATCTCGCTTTGTGAGAGACGGCCCTTCTCGTTCTTGATCTGGATCTTATTCGTTTTTCCCGAACTCTTCTCCAACGCACTGACATTCAAGATTCCATTGGCGTCAATCTCAAATGAGACCTCGATCTGAGGAACACCTCTTGGAGCTGGAGGAATTCCCATGAGGTCGAATGTGCCCAATCTGTTGTTGTCCTTGGTCATTGCACGCTCTCCTTCGTAGACTTGGATGGAGACTCCAGGTTGGTTGTCTGAATAAGTGGAGAATGTCTGGGATGCTTTTGTCGGGATCCTGGTGTTTCGTTCAACGATCTTCGTCATCACACCACCAGCTGTCTCAATGCCAAGAGACAATGGAGTTACATCGACCAGAAGAACGTCTTTTACGGATTCGTCCTTGACTCCGCTCAGGACAGCGGCTTGGACGGCTGCTCCATACGCGACGGCCTCATCGGGGTTAATGGATCCATTCAGGTCCTTGCCAGAAAAGAAGTCCTTCAGAAGCTTCTGAATCTTTGGAATCCTGGTAGAACCACCGACTAGTACGACTTCGTGGATGTCAGACTTTCCGAGTTTTGCATCCCTCAGGGCTTGCTCAACTGGTTCCAAGGTAGATCTGAAGAGGTCGGCGCAGAGTTCTTCGAAGCGGGCACGAGAGATCCTGGAGTTGAAATCAATTCCATCGAACAACGAGTCCACTTCAACAACGGCTTCGGTAGATGAAGAGAGAGTTCTCTTGGCACGTTCGCAAGCAGTCCTTAGACGACGAACTGCTCGGGCGTTGTTCTTGATGTCCCGGCCATGTTTCCTCTTGAACTCTTGGACAAAGTGTTGCATGAGACGGTCGTCAAAGTCCTCTCCACCAAGATGAGTATTACCAGCCGTTGACAAGACTTCGAAGAGTTGGTCGGCGATGCTCAGAACGGAGACATCGAACGTTCCGCCACCAAGGTCAAAGATGAGGACGTTCTGTTCCTTGCTCATCTTCTTGTCCAACCCATAAGCAAGGGCCGCAGCTGTGGGTTCGTTGATGATTCGGAGGACATTGAGGCCAGCGATAGCACCAGCATCTTTCGTCGCCTGTCGTTGTCCATCATTGAAGTAGGCGGGTACCGTAACCACGGCATCAGTCACTTTGTGGCCAAGATATGCCTCGGCCGTTTCCTTCATCTTGATCAGCACCATGGACGATATTTCTTCTGGTCTGAACTGCTTCTTTTCTCCTTTGAATTCCACTTCAATGACAGGCTTGTTTCCTCTCTCCAGCACTTTGAAAGGCCAATGTTTCATGTCCTTCTGCACGGTAGGATCATCGAATTTGCGGCCAATCAGCCTTTTGGCGTCAAAGACTGTGTTCTCAGGGTTTCTGGCCGCTTGGTCCTTCGCAGCTTCGCCAATAAGACGTTCCGTGTCAGTGAAGGCGACGTAGCTCGGGGTGGTCTTGTTGCCCTGGTCGTTGGCAATGATCTCGACTTTACCATGTTGATACACACCAACACAAGAGTAGGTGGTACCAAGGTCAATTCCAATAGCTTTGCACGAAGCCATTATAATAATAGTAACAGTAGAGTAGCGTTACAGTAGTTTATAAATACAATTTTCTTTCGAATCTGAATGGGAAGGCCCTTTCGCTCCCTTTATATACCCTTTCTCCCATTTCTTCCCGTCTTTTCGCGGCTTCGCCGGACTTTTCGCGATGCTCTTTTCTCTCTGCCCCCTCTCTTGTCTCTCAATTCACCCTTTTTTCCTGAAATTTCGGGCGCTTTCGAGTTCTCTAGAGAGATCTCTCGGCGTTCGTTTCCCGGGTTGTGTCCGAACAGTGCACGTGACTCAAACAGTGCACCCGGGGATTGTGCACCTGAGCGAACAGTGCACTAGAAATTTTTGAACAGTGCACTTGGGCGAACTGTGCACTTTGAAAAAAAAGATTTTTTGTGAATAATTGAAAAAAATTGCAATGTTTTTGCTTCGGGACAAAGAAAAATAATTTTTTTTTTTTGGAAAATTTGAACAAAATTTGAAAGGTTTTTGCTTCGGGACAAAGAAAAATCATTTTTTTTGTAAAATTTAAAAAAAAATAAACAAAATTTGGAAATGTTTTCGTTTCGGGACTGGGAAAAAAGATTTTTTGTGAATAATTGAAAAAAATTTGAAATGTTCTCACTTCGGAACTTGGGAAAAGGAATTTTTGTGGAGAATCGTTCTGAATGTCACAATTTTATTTTACATAAGATACGAATGTTATTTTTAGATTTTTTTAGATAAATAGTTGATTTAGGGGTAGTCCGAAGCGAAAAAATTTCAAAAATTTGTTCAAATCCTCAAAAAGTCCTTTTTCCCAAGGCCCGAAGCGAAAACATTTAAAAAATTTGTTCAAATTTAACAAAAAATCCTTTTTCTCAAGTCCCGAAGCGAAAATATGAAACGGTATCGTTGACCGAAATGTAGTTGACCCGAGTTGTCCCTGACCCGAAACGCTGTAGCGCCAATTAAAAAAAATGTTTTTGCTTTAATTTTTTTGCTAAACTATGATCTAGAGTGGATGATTTATCAAAATAAATTTTTACCACTTATTTCCAACCTTTAAGAATTCAAAGTCAAGTCGAAACTCCAAGCCGCCTCGGCAACGAACCTCCTTCACTCCGGCCCAACTAGAAGCTTTGGAAGAGCGATTTCAAGTACAACAATACCTTGTGGGCCAAGCCAGAATAGACTTTGCCCACTCCTTGGGACTCAACGAAGCTCAGGTAGGCATTTCCTTACTTTTAACAAAAATTTAAAATTTTTTCCTCCGAAATTTAACCTAAAAATCTTATTTACAGGTCAAAGTGTGGTTCCAAAACCGCCGAATCAAATGGAGGAAGGCGCAGCGGCAAATTCTGCATGAGATAGAACAACAATTTACTGGGATTGCCCAGATGTAATGTATTTTATAACAGGAAAATGAATAAAAACCACTCATATCGTCCCTTTCCAATTCTTTTCTCCTCTCTTTGAAGAAAAAGAGAACGGAAGAGGCCTTGCGTGTGTGCCGCCATAGCTCAGTCGGTTAGAGCGTGGGTCTAATAAGCCCAAGGTCGCAGGTTCGACCCCTGCTGGCGGCAAATTTTTTTTTGCTGATTCTGAAATGAATTTTGCTGCTAGAAACGTAATAGGAATGTAGAAGAATGACAAAAAATAATTATTTTACAATTATCTTTCAATTTCGAATGTTGAAAACTGTCTAAAATTAAAAAAAGGTCCAAAAAGGCAGAAAGATTTATTTTCCAGCAGTTCTGCGGCAGTCAGTGAACAGTTCAAGCAATTGTTTACAAAGTTGAGGGTCCTTGTCTCGCTCCACACATTCCACGTACTGCTGCCATTCGGAATCGCAAGGCTTCTTAGAGGTGTTCGGGGAATCCGAAGCGGAACCTGAAAAGGGGATAACTTTCCAAAATTCACACTTTCGAGAATTATATACGATCGGAACATGCACAACTTGAACCCCCGAAAAAAAAAGTTGCAATAAAATTATAACTCAATCTTTATCGTGAATATATTGCTTGCACATCGCTATTTATTGGACCGAAACGTGTCCCCAAATACCTTATCCCAAAGCCAAAAAATTTGTCCATTTTTTGGCGCATCCTGTATAATTAAACGACAAAAAAAGACTCGGCCAAAAATTCTAATTTTGATCAAATCCGACCAATTTTCTTGATCTAGCTATAATAATCTTAGTGGGTAATTCTGACCGCTAGGATCACCTAGAAAAATGGCCTAAACATTTTAGGCCATTTAAAGGATTTTTCTTACCTTTGCTCCCGCCGACCAACGAATGCCCAACGGCATGTCCAACAGCCGACCCAACCGCAGCGCCAGCGGCCGTAGCCGCCATCTGACTCATCAATCCAGGTCCTTCTCGTCCTTTGGCCTCCTTCTTCGGCGGAGCAGCGGGTTTGGCGGCCTTCGGAGCGGCTCTGGAGGACTTGCTGGAGGTCTTGGATGGGGCCATCACTAAAAAGGCGATGGCAAATACACGAGATTACCAAAAACTCACCTTGAAACCAGGAATCGACCGATCAGTTGAGGGGCAAATGAAAAATTGCGCAATTTCCCATGTTACTCCAAATTGGACAAAAAATGAAAGTGTAAACTAAATCTTTCTCAAGGCATTTTACCCTCTTTGACAAGTATTTTCGGCTCCTCCAAGCGGCCTAGGGGGCGTCAAGCAAACGTTGAAACAGCAAATGCCGCGTGGGTCTGGAAAGTGCAATAAATACGATTTAATCCTGCTTGGTGATTAAAGCAGTATCGGAGGTCAACAGCACTTCTTTAATTTCGGCGTAGCAAGATGAACAACGAAGTTCGGTTCACGAGAAAATTCTTGTACATACAGTGTCGAAAATGATCCAGTAGCAAAAAACGTACAATTTTGCATTCGGGAATTGTCAAAAAATGTAGCAAAATGCCTCCCTCTCTAAATAAAAACCTCCGTTTTGAAAAACTCGCCCTTTCCCTCACAAAAAAGCGCTTTTGAAATCGAAGTTTTCTCACTTGGAGAGGGAAGTATTTTGCCACATTTTTGATTTTTCCGGATGCAGAAAAAAATTACGTTTTGTGGAAACATTACCCTCTGTGGCAGTAATAGGTGTGAAATTTTTCGTGCCGAAAATTGTCGCATTTTTATCGGCCAAAAGTGTGGCAAAATACCTCCCTCTCCAAGTGAAAAAACTCCGATTTTAAAAGCGCGCCCGCCATTTTTGTGAGGGAAGGCGCGCCCTACAAAAAGGAATTTTTTCACTTGGAGAGGGAGGTACTTTGCTACATTTTTTTACTTCCCGGATGAAAAATACATATGTACGTTTTATGCCACTGGACCAGGTCCGCCATTGTAAACTTTGGTACTTACAATATGTAGTTTCCCCACCGCGACTGAGAAGAGACATGTTTCTGCGACAAATCCACATTATTTTCCCGACAGACTGATGTATATAGAAACTGTCTCGAAATTCACCTTTTTTTCGACATCGTTATTCCATTCGCTGACAGGCTCTCCTCCTCTTGCCTGTTCTCTTGTCAAAATTGTTTCTTTGCTCTCATCCGTGACCTTTTTAACACATTGAGTTTGTTATAGGTAGGCTAATTCCTCGCTGTTTTTATGAGCCATAACTGCTCGGACTGATAAGAAAAAGCGCTTCGTTTGTTTTACACACCTCAAATTTTGCTCACTTCTCTTGCTGATTTGATTTCGAAGCTCATAGCTTCCTTAACTTTACGACTAAAATCTCAATTGTAAACATGACGATTACATTTGAGACCCCCGACGAGAATGGCGACCAAGCGCCCCGGAGGGCATCCCAGCAGCAGAAGAAACGAAACTCAGTGGCGTTCAAGCGAACCAGCGTCAAATTTGCGTCTCCAACACCGTCAGAATCGGAGGAAGTCGGGTCAATCTCGGACGATGAACCGGTTGGATCGAGAAATATTTGGCTGATGAGGTCGTTGCAAGGAGGCGCTGTGTTGCTGATGTTGACAGCGGTTATTGGAACTTGTTATTATGCGATTAGCAATAGTAAGTAACTTTGGGAAAATGTGTATTATCAAAAAATAGTCATTTTTTGGAAATTCCCTAGGCTTGGCTCTTAGCAATTGTTAAATTTTTTTTGCAAGGACACATAGAAAAATTATTCACGAAAAAATAACTGACAGGGAAAAGTAGGCCAAGCGCGACGGTCGGATTTTAATGAAATTTGGCACAAATTTAAAAAATATTTTTTAAGCCGTATGCGAGAGTCCAAGCTTGCGATTTGCAAAAACGACCGAGATTTTTATGTCAAAAGTTGGAAAGAATCAGCCATTTGTTTGACAATTTTGGCACGAAAAAGTTTCACGCCTATTTCTACCATAGAGGGTAATGTTTCCACAAAAGATCTATTTTATCAATGCGAAACTGGCACGGCAAAAACGTGTTTTTATATCTGACCGCACTCCGCTTTTGCATACTCTCTCGGCAACAAAGATCGTTGAATATGTCGGCTGCCATCCGAAAATGTGGGCAAAGGATTTTAAGAATTGATTTGTGGTCTATGCCCAAGCTGCGTTCAAAATTTAGAAAATTTGAGCGTTTTTTTTCAGGTAACGACACGACACCTCAAAACAGAGAGCGCTTCAACAGTTCGAAGCCGTATACGCCAAATTTCACTCAATATTGTGTGGATGGGATTGTCAACATAACAAAGGAAAAAAATGGGGAAAATGTGAGCCTTATTTGTGGCTCCAAAAATGTCGGATCAGAGCCTTGTCTAGCTCGCATACAGTGGGGACCTTGATCCAGTAGCAAAAAACGTACCATTATGCATACGGGAAGTATCAAAAGCGTGGAAAAATGCTTCCCTCTCCAAGTGAAAAAAACTTTTCCTTCACAAAAGAGTGGGTGCGCTTTTAAAATCGTAGTTTTTTTACTTGGAGAGGGAGGTATTTTGCCACGTTTTTTATCCTTCCTGGATGCAAAATGGTACGTTTTTTGCCACTGGATCAGGTCCCCCACTGTAGAGAAATTAACCCATTCTTTGCAGACAGTCGAAACATCCTCCTCTTTCTGGTATCAAAACGCCAAAACTAAGAAATTACATGTGAAGTTGGACAGGGATACGATTGCTTTGGTCTTCAATAACTCGGCGTATTTCGCAAAGCTTGATGGCCATGGGGAAGTTATTGTAAGTATCAAAGTTTACAGTGGCGGACCTGATCCAGTGGCAAAAAAACGTATCATTTTGCATTCGGGAAGCATCAAAAAATGTAGCAGAATACCTCCCTCTCCAAGTGAAAAAACTCTGATTTCAAAATCGCGCCCGCTCTTTTTGTGAGCGCGCCCTTCAAAACGGAGCTTTATAATCGGAGAGGAAGCATTTTGCCACATTTTTGATACTTTCCGTATGCCTAATGGTACCTTTTTTGCCACTGGATAAGATCCGACACTGTATACTATAATATATCAGCCTGTCGGGGAAATAATGAGTACTCTGTCGCATCGAAAATCGCATCGCCGCCGAGAAAATGAATTGTGTCGCGGAAAAATCAATTTGCTTTTCAATCGAGCAACACGATCGGCGATGCGAGACTGCGCTCATTATTTTCTCAACAGACAATATACAGTGGCGGGCTGATCCAGTGGCAAAAAAGTATCATTTTACATCCGGGAAGTATCAAAAAATGTGGCGCAAAATGCCTCCCTCTGCAATTAAGAGCGAAGGAATAAGAATTTTTTCTCGAGCTCGAGAATGTTTGCTGGATTCGCTACCAATTTCAAAAAGTAGCGAAATGATCTATTTGCGACGTGGTCTCGGTAGCGAATCCTTCTTTTCGCGACCTCCGAAAAAATCTGTCGCGAATCGGCGTTTTCGCTTCCTCCGCGAGAGAGAAGGTAGCAAAACGGCGTTTTTGCGACGGCACGGAATTGGGAGGTAGCAAATCCGTGGATTTGCGACCTCCCAAATTGACTCCGCCCACTCCGGCGGAAATTTTTTTTTCTAGCGCTCCGGTTTGCCGTTTTGAATATATTTCGAGTGTATAAAGCACTATTCACAACTCCCATACATTTTTCTTGACAATAACAATTTATTAAAACAAATAATCCAAAAAATAACAAGGCGTAAGAGAGGAAATAGAGATATTTTACATTTAAATCGGTATAAAATAATTCTTGCTACCAATTCACAACTAAATAAATAAAAATGCCTCTTGGGAACACACAGTTAAACAATAATAAAGCTTAACATAAGGCCAATAGAAAGACTAACAACATCTCTATTAAATATGATATGGCCAGGGATGAAACAACAGAGAATACGGCATTGAAATCACGGTGTTATGGACAATACTGCAAGTCTGTGTGGAGACATGGCCCTGGAACTGCCGGGGAGGTCCTGGATCTGCTGGGGAGTTCCTGGGACCTGCTGTGCGGGGTTGAACGGCTAAGACAGACGTAGCCGCGGCGTTTGATGGGGCCGGTCATTCTTCTCCTAAAGCAACAAAATAAAATAAAAATGTTTCTTACTATCTTGTAGACCCACGATGTAGACCCAATTCTTGGCAGAAACCAATTCGTGCACATATTAGATAACTATCCTCATGTGGTCTCCAACATATGGCCTTCTGCGCCGGGTGCAATAGACAATTCTGCCTTCAACGACTTTTCCAAACGACTCGTCGATGCATCGATCTTCCCGCACTCCATTCTTTTCAAGTTTGACCAAGACACATCTCCAATTTGACGCATCCCGCTCGGACCATATCTTACTGATAAAACCATAACATCCTGATCCTTGTCGTTATTACTAAAAAAATAATAAAAAAGAGCAAGTCTTACATAAACTACGTCCAAACATTGAAATTCGGCCTTGCAATCGGCCTCAACAGCTTTTCAAAAGGTTCGACTGTCCAAAAGACGGCAGACTCTTTTGATAAGACCGAGGAAATCCTTGTTATTCAACTAAAACAACAACATACCAAGAATAAAGCTTACGTAATTGTCCAACCCGGAATTCGGCCCTCGGTTGCCTTCAATTCGGATCGAATGAACAGAAATCCCACGAAAATTGGACCTAAAAAACGTTCTCGGACTGCGTGGCATTTCGTTTTCACGGGCCGCGAAAAACATAATTCTTTTTCCTTTTGTTGAATTGGCCAAATAGATGCAGAGAAGCTGAATTAGAAGATAACCCGACTCAAGGTGATCGCCATACCCATCGGGGACGAAATTGGCGGGGAACAAGGCTTTTTGACTCCATGGTAAGGTGTTTTTTTTATTATTTTTTGATTTTGGACGAGATTTCTAATTTTTTCTACATTATTCATCGCAAGAGTCTAATAAATCTTTTTCAGGAGGCAGAAACATCGAAATCGGACAAAGGAAAAGCCGTGTGGTAGTTGCCAAAGGAAGTAAGGTTTGATTTAAGTATTATTACTTTGTTTTTAGGTAATTTAGAGATTGAAATTGTTACCTGGAATCAATTTCACTCCCATCGGCCGTATTTTTGCCCAAGACTATGCCCATTTCGATGCTAGGATTAGACACATGCACTATGAGGTAAGTATGAAGGTCTTTTTTTCTAAAAATGAGAAGGAAATGTTATATTGCTTTTGATTTCCAGGAAGATCCATATTCGACCATGTTCTGCCACCCCAGTCATTGACTCTTGGGCCATATCTGGACAATATTGTGGAAAAACAAATGTTCTTCAGCCCCATCCATTGACTCTCCGGCCATATTTGGACAAAATCGTGGAAAAAATAAAATATATTCTTCATAAAATGTACGTTATTTTCCAATAAATGCTTTAACGAGTCGAGGGACCTTTTTTCTTTCATAGTATCGTAAATGTCCGATTTGTAAGCTAAATTTTGCACCCTAAACGGTGTTTTTTCGTCAAAAAGCCAAACGTGATGGCTGAAAAACTGAGGGGGCGGGGCTTATTTTGGGACGTCGCAAATCCATGGATTTGCTACCTCCCAATTTTGCGCCGTCGCAAAATGGCCGATTTGCTACCTCCCAATTTTGCGCCGTCGCAAAATGGCCGATTTGCTTCCGACGCCTTTTTTGGAGGTTGCGATTTGAGGTTTCCGCTACTTTTTGAAATTGGTAGCGAATCCAGCAAACATTCTCGAGCTCGAGAAAAAATTCTTATTCCTTCGCTCTTAATTAAAAAAAAATCCGTCTTGAAGGGCGCGCCCCTTCTCTCACAAAAGAGGGAAGAATTATGCGACATTTTGCTTCTTTCCTTGATGGAAAATGATACTTTTTTTGCCACCGGATCAGGTCCCCACTGAAAAGGCTGCCAAATTTTTTTAGGAATGCAACAGAGAGCTCATTGGATATGATGAGTTTTTGGAAGAGCTCAGTCTGGTTGATATGGTCGATCGTCACAGTGAGATTCGTCAATTCCATAATGAACAAGCCGTCTACGTTTTCGAAGGGTCTGGTCACAAATTCAGCTATGCAAACCGGACCCCTTTTTTGGTACAAGTAAGGTTGCTTCATAGACTTGGGGGGTCGCAAAAATGAAATTTTTAAGTTACAGGGGCGCTGTTGGATGAGATATAAGTTCCAATCAGCAAAACGCCCTAAGGCAATTTGCAAACATTACTATTTTCATTCAAAAAAAGAAACGAAAAATCAAAAATGTTCCGATTTAGTGATAAAAATGCCATACTTAAAAAATGCCCTAAGGTAATACTGGAAAAAAATAAAGTAGATAAAAAAAGAAAAAAACATAAAGCCTTGGTAATCCAAAAAATATTTTAAACCATGTTTTCAGGCCTACGGAAATGTCTACGACGGTCGTTTGACCGGCTTCCAGTATCATTTTAACCCCAGTCACAACAATGGATTATTAGCAACTACCTATCGATACTATAATATGAAAATGGGAACCTCTAAAGAGGATCCTTACAAAACTGTGCCTTCATTGTGTTTTGAAAAATAAATGGTGAAAATCAAAGCTTCATAGCTTGGTCCTGACCTAAAACACGCATTTCCACCATAATCAAACACTAATACCATTTCCGGGTTTTTTTGTCTCCAATTTACTCAAAATCCCCAAAAATACAAATCAACATCCCAAAAAATTCAATTCATCACAATTTATTCGTAGCAAAAGTAAGTTTAAGCGGGAGCATCGCCTTCCGCTGGCGCAGGAGCAGCAGCGGAGGGACCAGGGGCGTCGGCCTTCTTCTTGCCTCCACAGCCCAATGCGACGTAGCCCAGGGTGGCCAGGGACATCGCGGTGTAGGTGAGGGCGGTGAAAACGAGTTCGGACTGAAAAAATTTAAAATTAGAAAGAAAATTGAGAAAAAATGGAGGAAAAGAGGGAAACATAAAAAAAAGATGACTTTCTGTCCCCTACGAAATCCAAAAAACAGCTTTTTAATGATAAATACAGTATCTCCAAGGGCGCTATAACCTGCTTTTACCATTAAAATGCCCAGGAATAGTCTAAAAATACTTCATTTACCCAGATTTTCTCTTCAGGAAAATTGTAACTTAAAAAAATGACTAAAACCTTCCAAAAAATAGACATAGATCTTCTTCAAAAATAAAACCCGGACTATTCAAAAATAAGAAACCACCAAAAGTCCCAAAAAAATCTCTAGACAAAGCAGATATTTCCCAAAACCCCTAACAAACCAAGTCAAATCCCCAGACTTACCTGCATGCTTGAGAAATCAGCGAAAGTCAGTGGAAGAAGGAGGAGCAGCCGACCTAACTGGACCGACGAAGACAACCGAATGAGCAGATCGACCGAATTATCCCCCGTTTTTGCCTTGAATGACCGAATTATGCAAATTTTTGGAAAAATTGAAAAAACGTGAGAATTGAAAAAATTATGCAAATTTTTGATGGGAGTTGAAATTTTTCGACTCTTTGATTCATTTGCAAAATTCTGCTTACCTCGTGCGGACGATTACGGTGGCTGTGGTGCGGTTGGTCGCGAAGCTGACAACTACAACCATCAAAAACTTTTATAACAGTGAGTTCTGGGGTAAACGTAGTTTTCCAGATATTCATCTCAATCGTGCATTTCGTATTTTAACTGTTTTTTGGCATTTTCGACATCTTAGTCTTCGGGGGAAAGACTTGACGCAATTTTGGGAATTTTGAGTCAAGTCTTTCTCGCGGTGAAAATTGAAATTTTTGAAGTCATGAAAGCATTTTGCCTCTTTTTTTGGTCTGGTAGAAATTTTTTTTGATCGATGGAAAGACTTGACACAATTTGAGGAATTTTGAGTCAACTCTTTCCCGCGGTGAAAATTGAAATTTTTGAGGTTATGAAAGCATATCGCCTCTTTTTTTGTCTGGTAGAATTTTTTTTTGATTGAAGGAAAGACTTGACTTACTTTTTGACATTTTGGGTCAAGTCTTTCTCTACCCAACAATTGCAAGTTTTGAATTCAAAATCATTCTTAAAACTCGAAGAGCTCTTCCACCATCATACTAGCCACGATATTTTTTTATTTCACAGCATTTTTACCTTCAGGTCCGCCAATAATATATTATACGTCCCCATCCAAGAACCTGCTCCCTATTTTCGGTGTGCTTCCGATGGACTTCCTTGAGGAGCTAAGAGCTATTGCGAATGAAAATGAACTGGCCAATAGTCGTACAAGCGGGCCGGACGATGGGGTTCCACTCCACAAGAAGTTGGAACGAGCGTTTCCCCGAAACCCGTCGGTGATCGGCGATGAGTCCGAATATCCGAAGGAGAGAAGTCGTGATTTGATGCTGAGACCGATCTACATCAATGGTGTTGAGGTGGGATATTCGTAAGTTGATTTTTTTGAGTTTAAGACACTAGGAGGACTTTTTTGGCCAAAGCTTGAATTTTTTTTGAATTTTTGAAAACGACCGATTTTTGATTAAAAATTGAAAAAAATGAAATTTTTTTTTAGAAATTTCGATTTTCAATTTTTTTATAAAAATTTGAAATTTTGATTCTTAATTCATTTTTTTTAAATATTTTTAAAATTTTTCAATTTTTTTATTTGTAGCTATGGCGAAGCGGCCGGAAAAAAGGGAGTTCTCAGCGTACGCGGCTGCGTCATCACCCTATGGTACTTCATTCTGCGCGGCCACGATGTGAAAGTCTTTTTCCCGAACTGCTTTCGACGCTATGCGGACAAGACGGACGACTTTCAACTCCTCAACGACCTGATACGAATCGGATTGGTGCAGTTCACTCAAGGCCAGGGCCAGGAGAAATACAATGAGCTGAGCCGTGTGTTGGCGGCGAATGCGAGGCGGTTTGGAGGATGCATTGTGGCGTGTTCGTCGTTGCGGAGAGTCTTTGAGGAGAATCAGATCTATCAGCGGATTGTGCAGAAGAGGGTGCTGGTCCCTTGTTTCGTGGGGAATGAGGTGCTGTTCCCGGCGGACGGCCCGGAGGGAAGGGCTGGAGTTCGGTTTAGTGTGAGTTGATTTTTTTGAAAACTTTGACCAAAATCATATTATTTTTTTTATAAAGATCGACCGGTTGATAATTTTTTTTCTATTCACAAATTTCAAGCCTTAAAAAATTTCAATTTTCAAGGTTTTCAGTCCATTTTCTCGGCAGAGAAAGACTTGACACATTTTTGTAATTTTGAGTCAAGTCTTCCTCTCACTGGAATTTACCCATTTTTCATATTGAAATATAACCATCACAACAAAAATTGCCGAAATTTCAGCGCACAATTGTCGCCATGCCGGAGGACGAGGACTATGAGGCCGCCAAAGGCATGCAAATGAAGATCGAATATCAAGTGCGGGCTCTGGGTCAGCTTCGCCATCTGCATCCGAATGGTCGTAAGTGGGATGTTTTTTGCCGCCATCTCTAATTTTCAGGTAATTTATTGGCGGTGATTGAGCGACTCAACGAATATATGAAAAGTAATCGGCCGGCCAGAACGGCGTGTCGGCCGAATTCGTTCAATTCGGAGCCCAATTTTGGAGGGTTAAGCGGGTATCCGGATGGATTTGAAAGGCCACAACTATGTGAATCAACGGAGTTTCTTCCAAGTCCGGGAAGATTTCAAGGTATATTTTTTGGATTTTTCGCCAAAAAAAACAAAATTTTAGTCAGAGCAAGGGCGCAGCTCGGGAAAAATATCTTTGAAATGAGCCGAATTTCTTTACCGATTTTTTACATTTCGTTTTCTTTTATAAAAGGGGAATTTCTATCTTTTTAAATTTAGTTTCCAAAAATTTAGTCAATCCTAGGGCGCAGCTCGTCAAAAAAATTTTTTTTTGAGTCCGCTGGAAGATAATTTTTGTCCATTTTTTGCATTTTGCATTATTCTGAAGCATTTTCATGACGTTAAAAACACTTTTTTAGCACCATCTCCATCTATGAATCCATTTCCGAAGCCTCGGATCCGTCGCCCTCATTCCACCCTTGACGAGTTCCCTTCGGGCTATGGTAACTCGAGACGAGCATCTCCAATTGCATTCGCCCCATTCCCAGCAAATAACCGATTTGTGAACTCGTCGCTGAACTCGTCCACGAATCCATCATTGAGCCGCCAAACTCGCCGACCCACGAACCCTTCAACGCAACCGTCAATCGCGCCATTTTCATCGAGAAGACAGTTCTCCGACTCCCGCTACAATCGCGAAGCCGAGCCTCGGTCCTGTCGAAAAGAGCTGGAAAGAGTGCCGGCCAACCGAAGCCGCGCGCAGTCCTATCAAGTCGGCGACGAAGAATACGTGGTCTACTCGTATGTGGGCGGAAAACGAGAGGAAAGACCGAAATTTTACTAGACTTGTGTGTTTGATATTCGAAAATAAATTTTGCTATAGTCATCAAGAAGAGTTTTTTTTTTACTAGTCCTTCCGGAAAGTCGCCGGACGGAAATCGGCGACATGCACTGTGAGAAAAAACTCAGGGTGCGAGCGACAGCTCGAAAAAGCTTATTGCACAGTGCAAAAAGCCAAAAATTGCACAGTGCAAAGTGAACTTTCGGTTTCGCAGAGTGCATGTCGCCGATTTCCGTCCGGCGACTTTCCGGACGGACTAGTACTCTGCACCAATCTTAAGCTCGTTTTTTGTGTTTGTTATACAGGGCGGGCTACTCGAAACTTTTTGAGCAGTTTGCATCTGTGCGGTGCGTCATATCCGCTGCTCTGGTGAGGGCTGGGGCCAATTGGAGCCCTCCTGTGTAATAGCTCTCTAACACTCGTTACTTCTTACTGCCTGAGGCCTTCCACGCCCGCTAGGTCAAAAGGATCGATCTGCGAAAAAACTGACCTCCCTCGTTAGCCGCTTAGACCTCCCTCTCTTTCCAACCCTCCAAACTACATATATACCAGTGCAACAAACAATGGCAAATGTTTTTGGCCGCCGCTCGTCCTTGTTGTAAATTTCACCGATTTCGGGCTCTAAAAATTTGGGATGAAAATGTCAAAGGTCACTACGGGAGGCTCCGTGAACTTCGGCCTGTCATACTTGGTGGACACAAAATGGGGCACCTCAGCTTCAATTTGATATAAATTTTATAGAAATTGGTGCACTATTGGCGGAGAAATACTTGAAATAAAGGTGGAAGCTTCGTCTGAACCACCCTGTATGATGCAAGATTAAATACTTTATACAAGTGATATTTCCTTTATTGAGCAAAGTTATAGGCCATATATCGTTGACAATTGCTCGCAAAGCGGCTAGCTGACATTATATAGGCTGCTTCACTTCAGGTTTTCAACCACAACCGACTTGAACGTCCCATTATTTTCGCTGATTCCGCTGACCAACTCAAGCTCATCGTGCAAGGTCGAGTCATAGAAATCAATTGAGTTATTATCGTAGTCCAAACAAATCCCGTTGTTTGTAAAGAAGGGCGCTCCCAGAATCAGCTGGTTGCGTAAGCTGCCTTCGACCTTCAGACGGCACTCATTCCCCTGAGTCCTCTCGGTATAAGCGCCGAATTGAATGGGAATCTCGGCTCCTCCAATTAACAGCTTGATGTCGTAATTCTGTCCGCATTCCACGACGTATTGCTTGCGTTTTGGATCAAGCTTGGCGCCAAGTTTGCGGAGGAGTCGAGAATAAAGCGTGTTCTGGACGACGATCACATCTTTCGTTGTGGTGAGAATGGCATCAAAGTCAGCGCTATATTTATTGCCGTCGAAGAGGACTGCGGGCACATCAAATCTCCAATACACGCTGGTCGAAGCGTTGATCTTTGTTCGGAAGTTTTTCTCGTTATACGAGTGGCTGCCAATGGAAATCAGAGTCGTTTTTATGCTGAAAAGTGTTTTACAGTGAGGGACCTGATCCAGTGGCAAAAAACGTCCCATTTTGCATCCAGGAAGGAACCAAATTGTTGCAAAATACCTCCCTTCTCTAACAAATAGCAGTATTAGGCACCAGAACAACCAAATTTCAACCTCGTACTATACAGTATCAGGAAGTATTAAATATCACCAAGTCTTTAAAACGTGTTTTTGAAGAGTGCTAAGCATCAAAACAACACCATTAACGTCAAAAGCCATATTTTCAACTCGTACTACATAGTATGGGATAGTACTATATAGTACTAGAGGAAAAGTTAACACGATTTTCGAAATCAGCACCATCGAAAACCCCTAAATCGAGTATTTGTGAAAAAAATTAAAAAAAGTACTACTTTACAGTACTACTTAAGGAAAAAAGTAACAATCAAAAAAATGAATGCCGTTTTCGAAATCAGCACGCTCGGTTATCCTAATTTCGACATTTGCATCGAAGAAAAATAATACTTTTTGATTTCCCCAATCGTCTTTTTCCCAAATCGTCCAACTCCGCTGTGAACTTACCTTTCATCCGCGTTGACACCAACATGCAGACAGAGTAATCTTGCGGTAAGGTTGGCCAACAGTGCATCTCGAATATTTGTTTTTGGATCCTTCGCCTTCGAGAACCCCACTCTTCCAGCGTACGGCGGACTTGTAAAACTTTCCGTAGGCGCTGCACCAGTGAACGTCGTAACTACGGCAAGTTTTTCGTCCAGCTGCCGAAGAAATAGCTGGAACTTGTCCCTTCCAACATACCCACCAACAACTGAGATGTTCGAGTTGAGCAAGGGGGAATACGCTTGGCGAAACGGTTCCGTCAGGTTGGTGAAGCTCTTGGATTTTGCTGGATCAAAGACTTGTTCAGGCCCATATTGACCAAGAAATTCTTTAGCGTTGAGAACAAAAGTTTCGCCAGTGTTGATGTCCAGGAGAAGACGTCTTTCCAGGCCGGGATCGTCGTTGAAGTTGGCGGGAAGGGAAAAGTCGTTGACGTATCCTTGACTGGTCGGCAAGAGCAAGGCAATTGCTAGAATAAAAATCATCATAGACGTTTATATTGTCATCTTCCTCTTTAACAACTTATATAGTTTTGCGATCGAGGCAGTAGGCGGAGCGCGGACAACGGTCATGGAAAAAACGCCTTTTGGCTAACCCTGCAAAAAAATCAGGATACAAACGACACCCCAAAAGGAGCCATTGCACGGTGGAAAAATTGCAGAGGGGAAATTGCACTTTTGTTTTTTTCGCAATGTAGCAGAAATCACTGCAGAAACTTTTCTTTATCAACCTGTCGGGAAAATAATGGGCACAGACCGCATCGTCGCCGATAAAATGAATCGTGTCGGCACAAAATTGAATTGCTTTTCACTTCAGTGACGGGATCGACCCAGCGAAAATGTGTTAATTATTTTCCCGACAGACTGATATCGGCTTTCTTAACTTTGTATGTCAGCTATCAATTTTTTTGTGGGCCGTGGAAGCAAGCATGGTGATGACTATGAATAGTAGCCTTAGAGATGTTAGTCACTTTTTGCAGTATTGGTTATCAGAAAAAGAAGAATCATCGACAAAAAAACCATGAATCGTTAAATTCTTTACTGTAACAGAAAAAGGTTAGAACCTTTTTATATTGAACCAGTGTTTTAGCAAAACAGTTTTTTCGAGCGCAAAAACACGGTGTTCGGAGAATGGATGACTCACTAATTTACCGCTACAAATACAAATATCAGTAACAAATTTAATGGCAAATCAAATTCGCTATGCTCTTTCAAAGCATCTGTATTCTTCTCTCGCTCCATGCTTGTAATGGTTTTGCAGGCACTTTCAGTGTTGATCTCATTTTTCCCGACAATGCAACTCTCCCTCGAAGAATGCTGGTTGACTTGTCTACGCCTGAAACATTCGTTCTGGAATCTGCTGAATTCCTAAACAAATTTGGACCTCAAAATGTCTTCAACCCCGCAGCTTCCAGCACGTTTAAAAACAAAACCACCTATTTTGTTAATGCTTACATTGATATGTTTCCAAAAACGATGTCGATGGTTCACGGATATCTTGGAGAAGACCGAATTTCGGGTTTGGGAAAAGAATTTCAAACCACTTTCGGCGTGGTTCAGCGTTACGACAATAGTGAGCCGAACCTGAGCTTTCTGAACCAAACCTTTGCTGGACGAATTGGATTATCAAATACGAAAGATCCAAAGACCAGCGTTCGAGATACCATCCTCCGCGACAGTCATTTGCCTGTGGTATGTTTGGAGGCAACTGCAAATAAGACGTAAGTATGAAGCAGCCGTTGAAAAACAGCTTACATTGCGGCGGTCGAATTGAAAACTCCACGCACTTTATGGACCTTTATATATATATTATATATATATATATATATATATATATATATATATATATATATATATATTATTATTATTATATATATTAAATAATTTTAGGCATAACTCAACAACCGTCCGCATCGGCGACTACATCTACAACAAAACCAGCTTCAAAACCAAAGTTCCTGCAATCAAGCCAGAATTTCCGTTCGAGGGTCTATGGATCGCGCCGGTGGACGGCGTGTCAATTGACGGAGTTAATTTCAACGACAGTTATGGTGCTATACTTGCAACGACCGTTGATGTCATTGGACTTCCTGGTGGCCCGTACGAGCACCTCCTTAAAAAACTCAAGCCAAAATACGACCAAGACCTTCGGGAGTGGGTTGTGGACTGTGCGCTGAATATCGACATAAAATTAGCGATCGGGAAGTCCGAAATTGTAATTGAGTTTGGAGCTTATACAGATAAGCTAACTGAAACAAAATGTCGGCTAAAGCTTGATGTAAGTCAATGGAATCGACTATTGCTTGGAGCGCCGTTCTTTACCAACAACGGCATTTGTCTGAACTACGAGTCCGATGAAATTCATTTTTACGAGGTTCCTCACACGAACAGCGGCATGAAGATTGCAAGCAGCAGTTTCTTGATAACCTGTTTGCTGACATTTGCACTTTTCTTGCCTAAATGAGTTTCATGTAAACCTTATTTTTGACCTCTAATATAAATAAATATATATATATGGTTGATTCAAAAGTTTTTCCAGATTTTTTCTAACAAAACTTTATTTTTTCCTAAAGGTAAGCGACAATCAATAGGGATAGTATGCACCGTCATGTTCAGCGACATACTGCCAACGCTCATGCAACACCATTATTCCGTGCTCGCAGAACTCGGCGGGTTTTGATCGGAAAAAGTTGGCCAACTCGGTTTTGAGATGGGTGTGGTTTTCGAAGCGCATATCTTTAATGTGATCGGAAAGCGAACGGAAAAGGCAATAGGTGCACCTTTTCAACTCACAAGGCACACTAGCGAGAAGCCGGAGAAAATAAAAAATTTTCGAACCCAACCAATATCGCCCTCGGAAAAGGACTGGGACCGGAAATCGACGAGAAAGCTAGAGAAATCTTTGCTATCTCACGAAAAGTAATCAAAGCTGAAGACTACAGAGGAAAATAGCATTATTTGAAGGGCGAAATTGATTTGTAAAAATTTACACCAAGCTTTTATTTTCCAAATCAGAACACTGTTTCTAGACAATTCCGACATCTGAATCAGGATCGTCTTGCATGTCGTAGAAGCTGACTTCGTCCTTCTCAAAGTCAAAACACACTCCATTTTTTCGGTAGATTGGAGCACCCAGTATAATTGTAGCTTCATACAAATGCCTCACTTTGATGACACATTTGTCCTCCGCGATCTTCTCCGTGTAGTCGCTGAATTTGAGCGGAATCGCCGCTTCGTTGATTAGAAACTCAATCGTCAAGTTTTGACCGCAGCTTGTATAAAATCGGCCATTTGGACGGTCGTATTCAGCGTCCAGCAGCCAAAGAAGTCGTTTGAAATGGTCGGACTTGAAGCCGATGCCGTCAAATGTCGTGCTGAAGACAATCTCATGGGAGCGGCTGATCCTGTATTTATCCATTTTAACACTGGTCACGTTGACCGCCCAAAGTCCGTCGGCTCTCGGAAGGGCTTTGACCGTGGTTCGCAGCGCCTTCTGAGGACCTGAGAAGCGGCCGAGACTGACTTGAGGTTTCGTGATTCTGAAACACACTCTTGGTTGTAAAGTTCTCAGTCTGTGGGGAAAACAATGAGCGGAATGTCGCTGTGCCGATCGCGTCGCTGAAGAAAATCAACTCGACTTTCGGGCGGCACAATTCATTTTTTCGGCGGCGATGCAATTTTCGATGTGACATTGTGCTCATTATTTTTCCGACAGACTGATTTTTTTTTGTTTTTTGATCATAAAAACTAGAGGTTTTTATAGATAGATGAGAGCTCACATTATTTAAGACACTTACTCCCCCTCGTCGTACATAGCCAAGCAAAGCGCTTTGTTCTCATGTCCCTCTAGCAGACGCTTATGAATATTTGTGGTGGTATTTCCCAGCCTGGAAAATCCGATCCGTCCTGCAACTTGTTCTCCTAGATACGTCACTGTTGGTGGGGAATTTCCATCAATTCTTTTGACAATTCCAAACGTTGCATTCATTTCGGTTCCAATTACCTCAAGTGAATCATAGGCTAGATATCCGGCAACCGAAGATGAGTTGACATTCAAATCACCAACATAAGTTTGCGAAAACTCAGCAGTTAAATTCTGGAAAGAACTGGACGTCGCAGGATCAAAGGTATTCCATTCTCTATAAGTTTCGTTGAAGACACTAGCATCCAAGACAAAGCTGTCGCCGGTGGAGATGTCAACCAAAAATCGGCGGTATCCATCGTAGGCATCGCTCAGCTTAGCGTTCATCAAAAAGCTGAGGAGTTTACCATGGCAGCTGCATGCTAAGATAGAGAGAATTATTAAATTCAGAAATGATCCCATTTTCTGTTAAACATTATATTTTAGCGGCCTCTATTTAAAGACCTTTTTGTTTCTAGTCATTACGGTTTTTCTGCTTTCAGGTTTGTCCTATTTTATAGTATAATATTAAAATCTATTTAAAACAGACGGCAAATTCGGTCCTGGAAGTACAGAGGCTGAAATGTCGCACCCTTTTTCTTGCGCTAAAAATGTACAGAATATAAAGCTTAACCGTCAAGTGTTATAGCCTGTTTGTTAGTCCGATAACAATTCATAAGGTCATTTATTGAAGGTTGATTCACTTCCAAGACACCTTACAAGACAAGACAAGAAAAGAAATTTGTGAATTGAGCAAACCGTTGCACCCTTTTTCTCGTGCGTAAAATATAAAGTTTAGCCAACAAGCGCTGTGTGTGCTTATCAGTACGATATGGTTTATTAAATCACGTCATAATGTTATTGAAAAGAAAAGATGATTACTCCAAATCCGACGCTCACATTTTTTTTAAACTTTGCACATACTTTGAACATAGGCCACATATCAATTCCTCAAAATTTCAGCATGCGCTTTCAAGGGGCAGGCGAGATTTTCAACGGTCCCTGCGAGAGAGCACGAAAAATGCGGAGAGAGGTCAGAGAGAAACCACTTTTTGGCCATCTTTTGCCAGTTCTGTGCGGAAAAAAATTGTTTTTTTTGTGGAAAGATTACCCTTTTCGGTAAAAAAACGTATGAAACTTTTCATGCTAAAGTTCGCAAAACACTGTTACATTTTTTCAGCTTTCGACTAAAAATTGGTCGTTTCTGCATAGCCTTTTTCTAATTGTTTTGGCTATTCCTTCCTCTACAACCTGAAAAACACGGTCGATTTTGAACAACCTGTTTTCAGTTTGTCCTTTGGCAAGGCTGCGATTACTACGATTCAAACTCGCTTTCCAATTTTAAGTCGAAATAAACATGGGTGCGACTGCCGGATCATGTGTTCAAAGTCTCCTAATTTTATAGGTATTTCAATGAGTAATGTAAATTTTGAGCAAAATTTATCTTCACATACTGATAAAAAATTTAGTTATGAGTAAACTATAAGAATCTGAGAGATAAAGCATAAAATATCATGTTTTTTCACCATATTTATCGCCGTATAAAAGGCAGGGAAACAAAAAAATTGATAGTTGATCATGAGGTTCCTTGTGCTCTTGCTATGTCTCTCAACATGCAATGCGTTTGTGGACTATTTCCGGATCGGCACCATTTTTTCGGATGAGAATATGACGTTCCGAAAGATGATTGTCGACCTGACCTCGACCCATTCTTTTGTCCTCGACTACGACAAGTTCTCGTCGCACGGAAAGAACAACGCTTTTAATCTGAACAACTCTACCACTAAGCTCAACACTACGCAAGAATTCAGATACCAATATTCAGAGGAGTATAATCCGGGGGCTTCTGAAGTTTCTGGCTTCATTTTCCAAGATGAATTATATGCCTTGGGCAGTGTGGTAAATGTGAGCTTTGGCGTTGCGCAGAGAATCACTGGAAATGATGACCCAAGCGTCTTTGACACCCTTCCGAACGCTGGAAGAATTGGGTTCTCCAGAGCGCCTGGGGCAGCAATTAGAGATGCTATGTTTGCTCGGGAAGATCGCCTTCAACGAATTTTGTGTTTGTACGTGGCGGTTTTGCTGTTGGATGAGTAAGTTTACATTCGCCATTTTAATATGTAATCTGTTCTTTCAGAGGAACTTTCCCTGTCATCACCATGGGTGGTCCTGCCTACCGCCCAAGCCTTTTACGAACAATTGCTCCGTCTCCTCCCAATCCCGGAGGACTCTGGACATTCAATGTCAATCGCATCGATGTTGGCAAGTTCCATATCACCGAGGTCCCTGAAGCCACTCTTTCCACCACTCTCGATGCAATTTCTTTACCCACGGGACTCTTCGACAAAGTAATTATGGCCACCGACGGTCATTTCGATGAATCCGTTGGAGGATTTGTTGCTGCCTGCAGTCAAGATATTCCAATTAACGTCGGAGTGAACAACGCTACCATTCCAATAAGATACGATGCCTACACAAAAAATCTAGGCGAAAATCGCTGTCTGTTGAAGTTAAGGAAGACTGAGGAGAGCATCGCACTTGGAGCTCCATTCTTCTTTTCCAATGGAGTTTGTTTGGACTATGACGCCAACGAAGTTCACTTCTTTGATGCAACAGCGCGCGACGAGGACGATCTGAACGCCCTTTCCGCCAATAAAAGAATATGGTAAAGCCAAGCGTATTCAAAAAATTTGGTTAATCTGGATTTGTTTTAAAGTCAAATAAACGGCTAGCAACTTTGCAAAGTTGTTTTTGAGAATCACCAAAAATTCAAAAACTTGTTTTTGAGACAAGATGGGTTGATTCCGCAGAGAGAGTACGCTAAGCGCGGAGAGCAGTCAAAGAGAAAAAACTTTTTGGCCATAACTTTGTTGGTTTCGTACGAAAAAGTTATTTTTTTGTGGAAACATTACCCGTTACGGTTGGAATACGTATGAAACTTTTCGTGCCGAAAGTGTCAACTTTTCGCCGACTTGCAACCTAAAAATCTCGGTTGCTTCTGCAAAGCGCGAGCTAGGATTGTCGTATGCATCTTTGAAAAAATTGTTCTGAATTTGTGCTAAGTTTCATCAAAATCTGGGGCCTGTTTCACTAACATAAAATATGTAAATAAAAGAGAAGTAGGGCGATCGAAGGAGCATCGAAAACGCGGACGAAATGCAAAAGTAGAATTTGCATGATAAGTAATCGGCCCAGTCAAAGGTTTCAACTCCTTTCAACGTGCACACGCCCGCTGGAAAAGATGAATGATCAAGAAGAGAATGGAAGTAATTTTGGATTGACGTGGAAAGCAATTCGATTTCGTCGCGACACAATTCATTTTCTCGGTTACGATGCGATTTTCGATGCGACAGAGTGCTTATTATTTTACCGACAGATTGATATGTGAAGTTTTTTACAGCAAAAAGGATGTCAAGAGCACTGTCTGGCTCTCCGTTGCCAACATTTCTTTGATAAGGGAGTTAAATTCATTGCGACCGAAAATCTCTTATATTTAGTTTATGAACAAATTTTTTCCATTATATTTTTTCCATAGTCCGCCAGAATGTTCTGTATGGTTATAAAAATGGACTTCTTTCTTATCAAAATCCAAGCAATACCCGCGATCCTCGAAATAGGCTTGTCCTAGCACCACGAAGCTTATTATGTAATGGTTCTCCAACAACAATATACATTGATCTTCCAGTTTTTTCGTAAACTCTTCCAATTTGACCTCAATAATCGTGCCCTGTTGGACTTCGAAGAAGAGCGAGAAATTCTTGCCACAGTCCACAAAATAATTCCTAGTGTTGTTGTCGTATTCCGCGCCGAGAGCCTGAATTGCTGCGCCAAACATAGGCTCTGGTAATGAGATCCCCGGAAGTGTTGTGGAGAGAATCGCTAGGGGAGATGCGTATGTTTTTTCTCCAACTATAAGACTTCTCAACTGGACTTTCCAGAGGACGTCAAAATCGGGATACACTGGGACTTTGACGAGAAGGTCTTGTTTGTCGTAGATAAAGTCGCCAATATAAATCATTGCTTTTCTAAAACAGTCAAAGATTAGTCATTGGGTAAGAATAGCGGGCCGCAACGTTCAAGAGGTAATAAAAGGTAAATTAGCTGTCTGTCGGGAAAATAGTGAGCACGATATCGCTACTCCGATCGCGTGGCTGAAGTGAAAAGCAATTTGATTTTGCCGCGACAAAATTAATTTTCTCGGCGGCGATGCAATTTTCGATACGACAGAATGCTCAATATTTTTCCGACAGACTGATAGATACAGGGTACGGCAACCCGAAATAGAAAAGAACCAGTATAGAATTCTACGTAAGAACTCGTAACCCGACTTACCCTGAAATTGCCGACAAACACAGGATCGCCCGTTGCCGATCTTTAATAAACACTGATCCCAAATTGGTCGTTCCACGGCCTCTTGAGAGTCCAAGTCGACCGGCGGCGCCTTGGCCATCACAAGTTTTGACGCTGTCCTCACCCTTCACAACAGTCACAACGCCGAAGCTGGCTTCTACTGGATGCGACAGAATCCTGACAATATCTTCGCCGATATAGCCATAAACTGTTGAATAATTTTGAGTAATCCACACAGGGAAGACACCATAAAAACGTCTGTCGCTGGTCTTAAAAGTCTTTGAAGCTTTGGGATCATAGACCCTTCTGTCGCCATACTTTTGCTTGAAAGTCCTGGCGTTCAGGACAAAGTTTTCGGTAGTGGCTATGTCAATGAGCAAGTCTCGTTGGAGTCCTCCAGAATCGGCGAAGAATACGGGTAGTTTGAAATCAACGCAGCCAGAAGCTAGCACGAAGAAAAAACAACAAAGAATAGAGGCTTTTAGCAGCATGCTCTTCAAATTCGTGAAAATAATAGCAATGGAATAGGAACAAAAACAGGAATCGCTCAACGAAACCGCTGATAAGCGACTTATCAGTTTGTCGGGAAAATAATGAGCCGAATGTCGCTGCGTCGATCGCGTCGCTGAAGTGAAAAGCAATTCGACTTTGCCGCGACACAATTAAAAGCGGCGATGCGATTTTGTCGAGCTTTTGGTCGCCCATCATCACTTTGTTCACCACTAGCCGAGTGGTCGCCATCGGCTCGGGATTTGGCGCCGCGGCAAGGCAAAGAAACTTTGCAGCGACAAATCCACATTATTTTCCCGACAGACTGATAAAATTTTTCTGTGCCGTGGAATGAAATCCCTAGTATCGTATAGAGCTGGTGAATTTTACGGCAAATGTAATACTATCAGTCTGTCGGGAAAATAATGAGCGGAATGTTGCTGCGCCTCGCTGAAGTGAAAAGCAATTCGATTTCGTCGCGACACAATTAATTTTCTCGGCCGCGATGCGATTTTCGATGCGACAGAGTTCATATTATTTTCCCGACAGACTGATATGTGAAGTTTTTTGCAGCAAGAAAAATATCAAGAGCAATGTCAGATTCTTTGTCGCTGACACTTCAATTGGAAGGAAGGTACATTCATTGCGGCAGAAAACCTATAGCATTCATTTATCAAACTCCCTTACATACACATTTATTTTATCAACAAACTTTTTCCATAATCTTTTTTCCGTAGTCCACCAGAATGTTCTTTATGGTTATAAAAATGGATCTCATTCTTGTTAAAATCCAAGCAATACCCACGATCCTTGAAATAGACTTGTCCCAGCACGACGAATTTGCTTGCGTAATGGCTCTTCAACAACAATATACATTGATCTCCGACTTTTTTCGTAAAATCCTCCAACTTGACCTCAATAATCTTGTCGTTTTGGACTTCGAAGGAGAGCGAGAACTCCTTGCCACAATCCACAAAATAATTCCCGCTGTTGTGGTCATATTTCGCGTCGAGAGCCCGAATTGTAGCGCTAAATACGGGCGATGGTAGTGAGATTCCCGGAAGAGTTGTGGAGAGGATGGCTTCCAGATATGCATATGTTCGTGCGCCTCCAATTATGAACTCCAACTTTTCCAACTTGACCTTCCAGAGAACGTCAAGATCAGGGACCACTGGGACTTTGGCGAGAAAGTCGTGTTTGTCGTAGATAAAGTCCCCAATATAAATCATTGCTCTTCTAAAATGATAAGAGATTAGTCATTGAGTAAGAAAAGCGTGCCGCAACGTCCAGAGATGATTACAGAATCTATTTTTCATGTGTGAAGTCATCACGTGCCATTTTTTTGATGGTGCTGGATTTGTATTGAATCGGACTGTCGGGAAAATAACGGCTAGGTGTCGCAGCAAAATGTCTTGTCTCGCCGCTATCGCGCACCAAATCTCCAGTTGCGGTCGCCGTCGCAAAGCGATGACTTCAAGGCGCCGTTATTTTCCCGACAGACTGATAAAAGCCCAAAAACTATTTCGTTATGCCGCGTTTCTGATCATTAGATTTTTTCAGACAGTTATGGAAAAAAAATCAAACCAAATCTCCAGCTGCTGCTGCCGTTGCAAAGCGATGATGGACGATTCCGAGGCGCGACGATCCGCCGTTATTTTCCCGACAGACTGATGATATAAACTATTTTTTGGCGTCGGGGGTTTTTGTCTCAGCGACGCTGGTGTCTCGTTAAATGAGTCAAGTATCGCCGCCGGAAAAATGAATTGTGTCGCGGCAAAATCAAACTGCTTTTCACTTCAGCGACGCGTTAGGCGAAGTGGCATTCCGCTCGTTATTTTCCCGGCAGACTGCCGATACTCATCGAATGGAGACAGAAACAGTGTGATAACAAAAACAGCATAGGACAAATCATAGTCCCAGAAAATGCCCAGACGTGGATTCTATACAGATATCTGTAGTATGTAAGAAAAATCTTCACCCGACTTACTCTGAAATTGCCGACAGACACAGAACCGCCTGTGACCGATCTCTCATAAATACGGATCCCAAATTGGTCGTTCCATTGCCTCGGGAAAGCCCAAGTCGACCGGCGACGCCTCGGCCATCACAAGTTTCGATGCTTCCCTCGCCCTCCACACTAGTCACAACGCCGAACTTTGCCTTCACTGGATGCGATAGAATCCTGACAATATCTTCGCCGACATAGCCATGAACTGAAGAGTAGTTTTGAATAAACCACACCGGGTAGAAGTCATAGAACCTCTTGGTGCGGTTCTTAAACGTAGCTGAAGCTTTGGGATCATAGACCCTTCTGTCGCCATACCGTTGCTTGAAAGTCTTGGCGTCCAGAACAAAGTTTTCGTCCGTGGTCAAGTCAATGAGCAAGTCGCGTCGGAGGCGGCCAGAATCGCCGAAGAATACGGGTAGTTTAAAGTCAAGGCAGCCGGAAGCTTGCACGAAATAAAAACAACAAAGAATAGCGGTTTTCAGCAGCATACCCTTTGTGTAAATAGCAAAGAAATAGAAATAAAGAGACGAATTGTTCAACTAAGCTGCTGATAAACGACTTATCAATCTGTCGGGAGAATAATGCACAATGTCGCAGCGCCAATCGCGTGTGCAAAGCAATTTGATTTTGTCACGACACAATTCATTTTCTCGAATTTTTGCGATTTTCGACGCGACTGAGTGCTCATTATTTTCCCGACAGACTGATATCAAAATATTTTTTTTATCGCATTTCGTCGTGTTTTGATATCTCGCGGAATTAATCCGACGTACCCTGAACCTGGCCTAGTGGCATTTCAATGAATTTGCATATCAGTCTGTCGGGAAAATAGTGGTCGGTCGTTGCGCCTTGGAATCGCCCATCATCGCTTTGCAACGGCTAGCCACAGCTTGAAATTTCATGCGCGACTGCACCGTTTTTTCGACGAAATTTTGTTGCGACGAAAGACACTATTTTCCCGACAGACCGATATTTATACATATATGTCTTATTTGTTTACCTGCCCAACTTCTTGTTGCTAACGTTTTAACCAGATAAATTGACAATCAGCTTCCGCTTGACGTCAACTCCCGCTGATAAGACAAATATCAGATCACCTTCTCGTAATATTTAACCCAATGCACTCGTGAATCATCGCTACTAAGCTACATAATCAGCGTCAGCTTTGCTGGACAGGACAAAGAGTCGATTAACCCTCAATATTAAAACCTATAAACATGATGAAAGACAAAGAAATCGCCCTGCCCACAACATTCGGCCTCACCCATAAGCCGCAATATATAAGCTGTAATCGCAAGGCTATAATATCATCAGAGGAGCAATGGGTTTTGTCAGCTTCTATCTTCTTCCACTCTCTCTGGCTGTCGTATGCCAAGGATACAACGTTAACTTTCGCCTTACGGCCAAGTTCCAAGACAACACCGACATTGACCGGTCGTTGATCTTGGACCTCACTTCCTCCGAGATCTTCGTCCTCCGATCCACCGAGTTCCAGGACAAGTACGGCCGTGACAACGTCTTCAAACCGTCGGCTTCCGACACTTTCGAGAACATAAGTCAGCCCTTCCAAGTGAACTACACTGGAGAATACAATGGGAAAGATTCCACGGTTCTTGGCTTCCTTGGCAAAGATAATGTGACCATCATCCTCCACAACGAGGTCGCCAGATTCGGCGTGGCTCAAAAGATCACAGCGGAAGAGATTGTGTTCGGGACCGACGGATATCCCAATGCCGGGAGGATCGGGTTCTCACGGAACATTGCGAACGGGTCGTTGGCGGAGAATCAATTCCCGCGCGCTCGGAAATTGTCGTTGGAGGTGGGAGTCAGCCCCAATAGCAGGTAAGGTTTGCTTGGGCGCTCTGAAGTAGATATCAGTCCCGGGGAAGTAGTGAGCACTCTGTCGCATCGAAAGTCGTATCGTCACCGAGAAAATCAATGGTATCGGGACAAAATCAAATTGCTTTTCACTTCAGCGACGTGATCGGAGAAACGACACATCGCTCATTATTTTCCCGACAGACTGATATTTTCATAAAGTGCATTGACTTTTTTGCCTTTTCCGAAGTCGTTGGAAAAAGCTTACGGCAAACTGATACGTCCTCAAATCCGCAGCTAGCTTAAAAATGTTCAATTTTCAGCGCGGTAAGAACGTCCATCGGCTTGGGAGACTTCAATTATGACCCGAAACGTCTGCGCACCAAAGTCCGTTCCCTGCCACACCCGAACGGCCTCTGGGGCCTGAGTGTTGCAAGGATCACCATAGGCAATGTTGTCAACATTCGCAACTACAAAGCCGTCATTACCACAACACTTGATGGGATTACCCTTCCATTCGCCGTGTTCCAACAAGCCATCCGAACATTGGGCGCAAAATACAGCCGTGAAAATCGTCATTACACGGTAGATTGCAACAGAAATATCCCGATCATATTGGAGATCAATGGCGTTAAAATTACCATCCGATTTGATGCCATAATCGCTCAGTTGGACAAAGTGTGCGTGTTGAAGTTGCGGAGCGTCGCCTCCGCTGATAAAGTGGTCCTCGGCCTGCCTTTCTTCATCAACAACGGGATTGGATTGGATTATGAGTCGGGAGAAATCCATCTTTATGACTCTACGTACGATGAGGACAGCGTTGCGATAAACGGTGTGGTTCAGACTGCTAACGGTGCAAGACAATTCATCACCACAGAATTTTTTGAGTAACTTATGCTTATCTTGGAGATTAATAAATTGTGCAATCGGTTGATGTTGCAACAGCTAAGATGGAGTGGTTAATAGGCTTTTAAGTCTTCTAGAAGTAATCAAAAACAGATTATGAGTTGATGATAAGAGAGAAAACAAATTTTATCCCCGTAATATGAGTTTTGCAACCTTTTGCAGGGATTAGGTCATCAGACTTGCATTTACTTTTGAATTTCATTTATTTGACTCGGTTCATGATTTTTGACGCTTATGTCGCGGGAGCTTTTGGCGCGCGTTATCCAAGCGGAGGGGTAAAGCCAGCCAAAGCCCGTGTTATATCATATCGAGCTTATTGTAGGCCCAGGGTGCGGACGCGCGCTCTGACAAGGGAATGGTTTGAACTGTCCGTGAGCTTTCAACATGAGACCTCCAAATTCTGAAAGAGCGTACAAAATTTAGTAGGAATCCGTTTTCTATTTTTGCCGAATGGTCTTGGGAGACGAGAAATATCGACAGAAAGATCCGACAAAAAAATCGAGAGAGAAAAGACGAACCGGAAAGGCTCAGAGAAGCGTAACCAAATAGTGTAGTGGAAAAAGTTCCACGCACAATACTTTTGGCAGAGGGCGGCCTTGGAGGTTCGAGTCCACCCGGAGCGGATATCGTCGGCTTGGATCTACGTGTCGAAAGTGTATTCGACAGCTATGTAAAGATTCTTTTTTCATTTATTCGAGTGTTTTACAGATTTTTTTCGAAATTTCAAGAAGACTTGACAACTTGGCTGCATTTTCGATGATGCCAGATGTCGACATACTGGTGTTTGCAAGACATTTATACTCGGTTCTGAAAGGTTGTATGGGTCTTGCGGAATTTTTCGAGTTTCCAGGGAAAATCTTGCCAAATTTTCTCCTTTCCTTAAAGCTTTGCAAGAAAAGTTCAAAAGAAATTTTTTGGGTCATTGCGTCAGCGTGTGGTCCAACAAGGCATATTTACGAAAAAAATCGATTTTGAGTTTTTTAGTTTAAAATGACCGTGGACATGTGTTTAACAAACGCCCAAAATATTTTTCCCAAATTCTTCCTAGAAGGTATAAATTTTCATAAATTTGTCTTTTTTGGAATTTTGTGTCTGACGGCATCATAGAAAGGGATAATGAGCCAAAATTTTGCGTATGTATCTTTATGGCCATTGCGTACTCAATTTTTTGAAAGTTAACTTTCACAGATTACTGTAACGTAAGCATGTTGTAACCTGGTCGATAAAAAACGGCTGGAACTCTTCTCCCAAGGCCATTCGGTCGATAGAAAAAGCATAATTTTGCAACAAGAATTTTAAAACACTCGAATAAATGAAAAAAGAATCTTTACATAGCTTTCGAATACACTTACGACACGTAGATCCAAGCCGACGATATCCGCTCCGGGTGGACTCGAACCTCCAAGGCCTCCCTCTGCCAAAAGTTTCGTGCGTGGAACTTTTTCCACTATACTATTTGGTGACGCTTCTCTGGGCCTTTCGGTTCGTCTTTTCTCTCTCTCTCGATTTTTTGTCGGATCTTTCTGTCGATATTTCTCGTCTCCCAAGACCATTCGGCAAAAATGGAAAGCGGATTCCTACTAAATTTTGTACGCTCTTTCAGAATTTGGAGGTCTCATGTTGAAAGCTCACGGACAGTTCAAACCATTCCCTTGTGAGGAGTCTCCTCAATAAATATTTATGTTCCAATACCTAGAATGATGAAGAGTTCAGACTGTTGAAAGGACTCAGAAGGGTCCCGTTACATCTGGAGGTCCCACCGAGATGACGTTATCCCCATTTCTATTATTCCTATTTTACTGATATCAAGTGAATGGAGTGTGGAATGGACTAGACAAGCACGCGTGCTCCGACCCTCCTCCCGACGTACCATCGTGCACATTGGATACGTAAGTCAGTAGCAATCGTAGGCCGTGAGAGAGGTTTCCCCCATTTTGGATACCATTTTTGAACAAGTCGTTATTTTTTGTCGTCCCTGATACTTAAGATAAGTATTTCCCCAAGAGAGGAACGTTTGCGCCCCGGCCGGGACAGTATCCCAATTTTTATTCTTATTTTTCGCAGCTCTAAAGGTGGGGGCTCTGTACCCTTTACCAAGTCCGTTTTCTGCGTGTGTGTATAGTAATAAATACATTGTGAGTTGACCTCCTAAAACGTGGCCGTCATGACTAAACCTTTTCGAAGCCTCTCTAGACTTCCTGGTCATAAGGGAACCGGAGTGTAATATCCACCATCTTTGAAAAGGGTTTACTTAGGATTGTCTGATCAGCAAGTACTAGGTCTTCACCTTTCTGTACATATTTTATTTTTGTTTCTAGGTTCCGATGTAAAATTTGAATTTTTTTCGATTACTGTGAGCTATGGCAACAGGGGTAACAACTGGAAAGATTACCGCAAAGAAGAATAGCCTTACTTGTTAGAGAAAATAAAGCGGGAAAGGCGCAAGAGGCCCATTAAGTTGAAGATATAGGTCAAGCGACCAGGGGTCAGCGCGCCAAGTTACGCAATGTGTAGCGCGAAACCAAAACGAGCCCACCCATGCAAACCACGCCCACCTTCCCGGCCAAACTAAAATTTGGAAGATCATTTCTTTACCTTCATACGTGCCTAGCACAGGTAACTTTTTTTCTGATCGGATATCATGGCCCCAACGAAAGAGCCTAACGCGCCCTCCTACCCGTTGGCCCCCTTCTGCGGTCGACACGACCCGAGGCCGTTTGCCACGTTTTTGAGGCAATACGCTCGTATGTGCGATGCGAGGAAGCTCGGCCGCAAGAAGGCGGCCGAACTGATTCCGCACTATCTGGCTGATGAAGCCATGATGGTGTATAAAAATTTGGATAGGGAGCTAATCAGGGCCGAGGAGCCAGAGGAAATTTTAAATGCGATTGCTAGCGCAATCCCAATAGCTGGGAAGCAAGAAAAAGCGCGCAGGGATTTCTTTGAGAAGAGATGGGCTACGGAGTTAGGTGAATTGATAAGGATAGCGGAAAATGAGGTCGGACGATACAGGCGTATGGCGTGAATGCGGTGCAGGGGCCCGACAGTTTCGTTCGCGAGGCCCTTTTCAATATACAAAGGCAGCTCGCTCGCCTCAACCCGTTTCACAATCGCCGAGGGAAAAGAGCCCCTTTCGCCGGACCGCGGAACTTCAACCCGCGTTACAACAATTTTCGGGAAAATCATCCCAACGACCGCGAGCGACCGCAAGCGCACAACAGGACTTTTTCAAATAACCAGCGTCCCAATCCAACTCAGCAATACCCGCGCCGAAACACGTTCAATCCGCAACGCGAGAACCGACCATACTTTCAAGATCAGCGCAATTTGTGCAGCTTCTCGAGTCCCACCGTCAATCACGTCATCGATGCCTCTCCAAGCGAAAGTGGCCGAAAAAGGTCGCAGCATGTATTGTATAGATAATTTTGTACTGTATTAACTTTCGTCCTATGAGAAAACTGTCAGAAGAGCTACGTGGACTCCCATTCCTCTAAACTCTAGTCTTTCTTTCTTGCAATCTTGGTTATCACAACAAATATATATATATATATATATATTACACTATCATAAAGCTTAGAACGCGGAGCAGCTTCATCCGTTCGCTGAGCTCGTCGTGAATTAATATAATACCTGAAAAACCAAGAAATATACACTTTTCTTCCTTACCTTTCTTTCATAGTCTTGTCTAAAGGGATAAACGTTTGCAATTCGATAGCAATTCAAAAAAGGCAGTAATAACCGTAGTAAGCTTTAATTTTACATTATTACACTTTATCATATTCATTTTTGTATGTGTTATTGAGATCTGAAGTTTGAAGCCTCATTCAGACCTTGCCGTCAATTCTCGCGACGCGGTCGTCGCGATAGGAGGAGGGGGAAGATGTCGCGGCCAGCGACGCTGATGACGTAAGTCGGAAGCGGAGTTACCGCGCATGTCTAAACCCAAGTCCTAGCGCCTCGATCGAAGATCGAGGAGAGAGGGAAAAGCGATGAAGATGGCCGGTTGTGTTTGTAATAATAAATGTAATTGTTAACCGGTATGGATATTTGAGTATTGTCTAGTAAAAGGATACGCCGCTCGGGTACGTGGAAGGCGGTGAGATACCTGCATTAGCATTGACAGCCTGAAAACCTGAGCAAACTTTGTGGCCACTTTTTCATCAACATTGAACGGAATCACAGTCCCTCCAACGTTTTACCCAAACCTCGTCCGGAGACTGGGCGCAAAATTCGACGCAGTAAAGCATCGATATGTTGTGGATTGTGCGAAAGAAATTCCCATCAAGATCGAGATCAATGGCACGGAATTTGACATCCGATTTGACGCGTTTATCGAGCCGACCGATGGACCCGATTGCGTTGTCAACATCAGACGTGGAAAGGAAAGAAAGGCCATCATCTTGGGAGTTCCGTTCTTAGTCAACAACGGTGCTTGTTTTGATAATGAGGATGAGGAAATCCATCTCTACGATGCTGCTTTTAACGCTCAAGTAATGATCAATGGAATCGTCAAGACTCATAATGGAGCTACCGCTGTCGTTGAGACTGTCGTCGGACAGTAATTCAGTTGTATTCTTATTTTTTTTAGTGCAATAAAGGCTGAGGCAGCATTGTAGCTAGAATTTTGAAGCATGCTCGTCTATGTATTTCTTAAAATTACGACATATATACATATGTATTTTGGACTCCATTTCCAAAGTCCTCCGTCGTCACTGTCATTTTACCGTTAACAACTTGAACGGCTCAAAAATAGTGACAAAATCGCATTATTTTTTTTGACATTTAAAAAAACCATGTTAGTTAATCGATATAAACATAAAACAGAAAAACACGGAGATTTCAGTAGTACAAAAATCTTTTGGCCTGACCTAAAAATTTTCGCGTCAGGACCCATGAAAAAACATGCATTTTTTTGGGGAAACCCTGTACAGAGGGAAGAATTTTGCCACATTTCTGATACTTCCCGAATACAAAATGGTACGTTTTTGCCACTGGACCCACTGTAGCAAGACTCGCTCTAGCGACTTTGTGAACGGTACAACTAACCTCTCCAGTTGAATGTGCGTTTTTCTGATCTCAACAAATTGAAAAAATAATATGCTTAAAACCAGTTGCTGATAATGGGTCGTGTATTTAATTGATAACAAAAAAATCACCTTTTGTCTCACTGACAGCTTCTTTATTTACATAAAAAGAAGTTGTACATATTATTTCGTTTCTGTTTTTTTCTCGGCGACTGTTGCTGAAAAATGTTGCCACTTTTCTACAATTTCCTGCTCTTTTATGCAGTAGCGCGCTGCGACGCACTCTCTGTGGTCAGCAACTTCCAGCTCAACGCATTCCTCAACGACAACTACTCCTCGTCGCGCAAATTCTTGGTGGACATAACATCTGCGGAAAGTTTTATCCTCAAATCCGCCGAATTTGAGGGAGAATTTGGGCGTGGGAATGTGTTTGATCCCACTGCTTCGTCGGGCTTCAAGAACCTCTCGGACATTGGAGTGGCTGTGTATTTCGAACAATTCAACAAAGACTTTTCGATGGCCAGCGGATTTGTCGGCCAGGACCGGCTGAATGTCAGCCTTCGACCGGTGGAGGGAAGGTTTATTGTGGCGCATGAGATCTTTGGGAATGTGAGCGTTGTCGGAGTGGACAAAGAAACCTTTGCTGGGAGACTGGGATTCTCGAAGCGTGTTTCTGAGCTGTCGACGGTCGTTCCCGCCATCTACGGAAAGAATCCGAGAATACTTTGTTTGGAGGTGGGGCTAAGCAAGAACAAAAGGTAAACTCGGGCTAGGGTGGATCCAAAGAGGGCATTTCGGCGAAGAGTGAACGTCGAGAAAAAAATTATGGTAAAGGGGGGACCAAGGCGGATTTTTTAAGAATGAGTTTTTAGATTGCAAAAAAAATTTATGGTTAGGGAGGACCAAGGCGGATTTTTTGAAAATAATTTTTTCGATTGTAAAAAATTTATGGTAAGGGGGGACCAAGGCGGATTTTTTAGGAATGATTCTTTCGATTGCAAAAAAATTTTATGGTAAGGGGGGACCAAGGAGGATCTGGAACAAAATTCTGCGCCCAGAAGAAAACGTTAAAATTTTTTATTCAATATTCATTTTTTAAATCCGTTTTGGTCCCCTCTTACAATCTTTTTTTTTGCAAAACGAAAAAGTCATCGTTAAAAAATTCGCCTTGGTCCCCCCTTACCATTTTTTTTTCAAAATTCCCAGTCCGAAAAGATGCCCTCTTCGCCCAGATGCCCTCTTCGGATCAAATCTTTAATCTAGTCATCAAATTTCCAGAGAGAAAACTTATTTCAAGTTAATTTTAAGATCAAAGATCACCACTGTAACAGTAGGATCGTTCAGTCCGAATCTCGGAGCCAAATCTCTGTACGCACGGGTCCCAGTGGTCCCGCATCCCGAGTACTACAACATCAATGTTTCCGCAGTTTCTATTGGCAACTACAATGTCAAAACCACATTTCTGGCCACGTTCACATCAACTTTTGATGGCATTACTGTACCGGAAAGCCTCTTCTTCCAAATTGTCAAAGCGCTGGACGCCCACTTCCACAACGGTTTCAACGAATGGGTTGTGAGCTGCGGTAAAAATTTACCTTTGAAATTGCAAATTGCAAATTCAAATATTGAAGTGCGCTTTGACGCCTACACGAAGGCTTTTGGCCGAAGAATCTGTTTTTTGAAGCTTAGAAAGACGAACGAGAAAACGTTGGTCTTGGGATTGCCGTTCTACGTGAACAACGGCGTTTGCTTCGATCAGGAGAAGAACGAAGTCCACGTCTACGACGCCACACTCAACGAGGATGATCGTGTTTATTCTGGTAAAAATAACTTCAATTTTAATGGAGGTATTGTCTCCAGAAAATACGAAGAATTCGAATTTAACTAATGAATTTGAAGGTGAAACTTTCATTATGACACTCACTACTTTTACTAGGGAAGGCGTCCAAGTGCGACGCTCAGATTTTGTTTAAACTTTGCAATACAGTGGCGGACCTGATCCAGTGGCAAAAAACGTTCCATTTTGCATCCGGGAAGTATTAAAAATGTGGCAAAATGCTTCCCTCCCCAAGTGAAAAAACTTCGTTTTGAAGGGCGCGCCCTATTTCATCACAAAAAGAGTTGAAATCTGAGTTTTTTCACTTGGAGAGGGAGGTATTTTGCCACATTTTTTATGCTTCCCGAACGCAAAATGGTACGTTTTTGCCACTGGATTAGGTCCCCCACTGTACGTTAAAACCCTAAAAATCTCTGTCGTTCCTGCAAAACGCAAGCTGGAAACCGTATTTATAAAAAAATTAATCTAAATTTGTACCAAGTTTCATCAAAATTCGAGCTGCTGCACCTGTTATCAGTCTGTCGGAAAAATAACGACGAACCGTCGCATCAAAATGTCTCGCCTCGCCGCTGTCGCGCACCAAATCCCAATCCGCGGCTTGCAGTCGCAAAGCGATGATGGGCGATTCCGAGGCGCGACGATCCGCCGTTTTTTTCCCGACAGACCAATAAATTACATGTCTCTCTTTGTAACATATGCAAAACCTCCGTTGATCCGCGTCAAGCCCTCTTTTATAGGGTATCCGACTGGGTAGTCATGATGAAAATGAATTTCGTCGTTGTCGTAGTCCAAACAAACACCGCGTTCCATAAAGTACGCCTGTCCGAGGACGATCTGCTTGCTCTCTGCGTGCGACTTCAGCAGCAATGTGCATCCCTCCTTGGTCTTCAGTGTGTACGCTTCTAAGGGCACTTCGATCTTTGCTCCGTTGATCTCCAACACCAAATTCAACGACTTCCCGCAGTCCACAGAGTACGTTCCGTTTTCACGGTTGTATTTTGCGCCAAGCGTTCGGACGACAGTGTTGAAGAGCGCTGAAGGAAGGGAAATCCCGTGGAGAGTTGTTGAAATTGTGGCCTCAAAGTTGGCGAACGTCTGGGAATCGCCGATTCGGAACTTGTCGATTTTGGCCACCCAATGACCGTCTGGACTTGGGATGGCCTTCACTTTGGCGATGAAGTCTTCTTTGCGATAATTGAAAAAGCCAATGCCTGTAGACTTGGAACTAAAGAAGTAAAAAGATAAATAGCAAATTTATTGTTGCTTTCAAAGCCTTGAAAACGACAAGCTCGCGCTTTGCGGGCGCCGCCGAGATATCGAACGATTTTTGCCGCCGAGAGCACGCTAAACGTGGAGAGCGGTCAGAGAGAAAAGCGCTTTTTGGCCATGACTTTGGCATTTTCGTGCGGAAAAATTTGATTTTTTGTAGAAACATTATCCTTTACGGTAGAAATAGGCATGAAACTTTTCGTGCCGAAATTCGGCAAAAAGTTCTAAATAAAAACTCCTTGGCTAGGGTTTGGCTGCCTTTACGACTGTTGGACTGCGTTAATTTCCCGCATACAAACGTATAATAAAACTATAATAATAATATTATAATAATGGAGAGCATAAAAGCTTTCAGTCAAAAGTGCAGAGACTTTAAATCCGACCCCTTGTACAGTGGCGGACCCGAACCAATGCCCAAAAACGTACCATTTTGCACCCGCGAAGTATCAAAAATGTGGCAAAATGCTTCCCTCTCCAAGTGAAAAAAAACTCCGACTTCAAAAGCACGCCCACTCTTTTTGTGAGGGAAATGGCAGTTCAAAAAGGAGTTTCTTAGTTGGAAAGGGAGGCATTTTGCCACATTTTTGATACTTTTCGGATGTAAAATGATACGTTTTTTGCCACTGGATCAGGCCCCTCACTGTAGTAACGTTCCAAACAGCGCCGGTTCGGACTTTCCCGGTCTGGGCCATGCCTAAACAGATTTGAAAAAAAATCCAGGACCGATCTGAGCAGGAAAATAAGCTTCGTAAAGATATTGCACTTTCACAGCAATCACAGGTCTTTTTACAACAAAAAATCTCACGCAACATCATTGAGATTTCATGCAAATAAACTTACGCCCCGCAAACTTTGAAACTTTGTGTAGGTGTTGTGATCGTTGCCCGCAAAAACTTCACACAACCCTTATTTTTAGAAGCCTTATTTTTTCTTACGAAAGGTCATTGATTCCATCGTTGAACGAACGTGAATTGACGTCAATCGGAACCGTAATGAACGAGTGTAAGAAGTAGTTCGAACTTTTCGACCAAACTCGGACCGGGTTTTTTGGCGAAGTTGTTTACAGGTCAAATCTACGTTCGCAATTACATCAAGCTGAGAAAAAACGGTGCAAAAGTAATTTCGAACACCGATCGAAGAGCTGGTTTTCACTTTTCAACCGCCCCACCTTTGACGTAGCTGACTTTTGAAGTCAGCGCCTTGCAATCAAACCCGTGAAACACCCTCTTTCAACAAAACACAAACTGATGTAAGGGCCCGGTTCGTATAAAAGACGGCAGTAATTGCGGTTTTCACCATCAACCTTGATCGCCAGAACGACTCAAATCTCAAAAAATGTTGGCTAGAGTTGCCCTCGTTCTGTTGGCATTAATGGTAGCGGTACAGGCGCAGTACTACGGCGGCTACGGCGGCAGTCCGTATGGAGGATACGGCGGGCAGTACGGCGGATACGGCGGAAGTCCGTATGGAGGATACGGCGGTAGTCCCTACGGAGGATATGGTGGATATGGCGGTGGACCGTACGGAGGAGCACCTTATGGAGGAAATCCGGGGTGAGTCTAGTAGAACCGGGGCCTTGTCCTTGCTTTTGGATTACGGCCTGGCCTGACAGAATAAGTTGAGGTTCGCAGGGCCTGAGAAAGTCTTGAAGCATACATTCAGGCTTACAAGGGAAGTACCCCAAGTGCGACGCTCAGATCTTCTTTAAATCTTGCACGCACATCAGGCATAAACTAAGCATCAATTCTTGAAAGTTTTAACCCGTGCTTTTCAAACGCCACCGAGATATTGAACGATCATTGACGCCGAGAGAGTACGCTTAACGCGGAGAGAGAGAAAAACGCTTCTTGACCATAACTTTGGCAGTTTCATGCGGAAAAATTTGATTTTTTGTAGAAACATTATCATTTACGGTAGAAATAGGCATGAAACTTTTCGTGCCGAAATTCGGCAAAAAGTCCTAAATTTTCGCCGACTTTCGATCTAAAAATCTCGGTTGTTACTGCAAAGCGCGAACTCGAATATATTTTAGAAAAAATTACTCTAAATTTGTTCCAAGTTTCATCAAAATCTGAGCGTCGCACTGGGGGTACTTCCCCTGTTAGAAGAATCGGCTCCTGGTGTCGAGTTTTTAGCCCGCCTAGTAATATTACAAATCAATTCTTGAATTCAAAACACTGTCATAATTTCAAGCGCATAAAAATCGTACAACCCAATGCTCATGATAACTTTTCAGCGCTATGGTTGGTTCGATGGTTGGTGCACAGATGGGTGCCGCGCTGGCTCGTGGCTAACTTCTATTTCTACACTTGTACACTTTTAATTCGATTTGCAATTGTATAAAAAAATCTTACGCAATAAAACTATTTACATAAAAATTGTTGAAATTTGCCTTGAGATCGAAGAAAATTTTTCATTTCCCATGGATGCAAATTTGGCAAGTTTACAAAAGAAAATTACCATAACTTGGGTGGTTTCGTCAAAGTTCAAAGCACGAATTTGCTCGCATTCACTCTGTGTCCTCCTGGGCGATCGGTGACCCAATGAAGCCGTTTGTGGTTGTTCTCCCTCTTCTCGTCGCTGCCGCTTCGGCTGAACATGATTTGGAGGAGCTGGAGCGTGTCCTGAGCCGTTTGGACCGTAGCGTTCAAGTCAACTTGAACATCAACCTGCACTCCGCGCTACCCTCATTGCCCGACATTCTGGGCCTTCGCGAAGACGAGCCGCATTTTGACGAAGAAAATATGCCGAGATCACGATATGCCCGGCCTGCGTATGGAACTAGGTAAAAGTTCCTTATTTTGGCCACAACTTATAACTTTGCGGAAACTGGTCGGAATTAGCCCAAATTTAGCGTGCACGCTCAGTTTATCGTTGTCAATGCCCGGACAGTGGATTTAGTTAGTGAGGTACCTTCTTTTTTACGTACCACCTTACCCTTCAAAAACAGCTGCAGCCTGTGATTTTACACTTTATACGTTGAAACATGTCCGGAAATAAACTTATTGCCTCCGTATGGAACTAAATGAGTCGTCACAGCCTTCGTAGGTACCCTTAAAACTATAGAGCTATTATAGTAATTCAGTGCCAGCTAGGTCGAAGCGTTTTTTTCCTAACTTTAGTGCCCAAGCTTGGGCGCAGTTCGCGGAGTACCTTTGTTGTGGCCAAAATAAGGAACTTTTTCCGGCCGGTTGCGTATATCCCATCACCACCGAAAGGACAGGTAGTGCTTCCTAACATTACCTTTGAGGATTTGAATAATCTGAGTAAGTCTGATTTCTGGGGGTTTTATGTTGAAATAGTTTTTTATTTGTTACCAAAATATTTTTGAACAGCCTTTTAAACTTTGTATTGTACCAAATCACCGGTTCCTCACCTTTTCAGCCCTCGGAAACCCTGTGTCTCGCCCAAGAAGGAACAAAGGCTACGACAACTTCTATTTCCTTCCGTCCCGCGGATGAGCAGCTTGCTTTGCCGATTATTGTATTTCATTATCCGTAAATAAACATTTACCGAATTAAATCGGCGGAGTATAGTATGACTTTAGGTGAAAGTTCCTTATTTTGGCCACAACTTATAACTTTGCGGCAACTGGTCGGAATTAGCCCAAATTTAGCGTGCACGCTCAATTCATCGTTGTCAATGCCCGGACAATGGATTTAGCTACTGAGGTACCTTCTTTTTTTCAGTACCACCTTACCCTTCAAAAACGGCTGCAGCCTGTGATTTTACATTTTATACGATGAAACATGTCCGGAACTAAACTTATTGCCTCCGTATGGAACTAAATGAGTCATGAGTCGTCACAGCCTTCGTAGGTACCCTTAAAACTATAGCTATTATAGTAATTCAGTGCCAGCTAGGTCGAAGCGTTTTTTCCTAACTTTGGAAAAAGTTCCTTATTTTGGCCACAACAAAGATACTCCGCGAACTGCGCCCAAGCTTGGGCACTAAAGTTAGGAAAAAAAACGCTTCGACCTAGCTGGAACTGAATTACTATAATAGCTCTATAGTTTTAAGAGTACCTACGAAGGCTGTGACGGTTCATTTAGTTCCATACGGAGGCAATAAGTTTAGTTCCGGACATGTTTCATCGTATAAAGTGTAAAATCACAGGCTGCAGCCGTTTTTGAAGGGTAAGGTGGTACGTAAAAAGAAGGTACCTCACTAACCAAATCCACTGTCCGGGCATTGACAACGATGAATTGAGCGTGCACGCTAAATTTGGGCTAATTCCGACCAGTTTTCGCAAAGTTATAAGTTGTGGCCAAAATAAGGAACTTTCACCGAAAAGAATATTATAAATTTGTGCCGATTTTCATCAACATCCAAGGGTCGAACTTGGGGCACTTCCCGTGTTATGTATTGTTAGACAAAAAACGTCATTCTTCCAGACATTTCGCTGAAGCAACTTTGTGGTCTAGGCTACAGAAACGGCTCGTTTTCTAAGAGCTCAGGTCTTCAGCTCACTATCTCCATTAGCAACAAAAGCACATGTGAATCATGATGTGGTCATGTCTCTTTAAAAACACGGATTGTCGGCACAAAATATCCCCCTGTTAAATGCAGAAGAATGTCGCATTATCTGTCTGTCGTGGGCTCTGTCTGTCCGTTCGCTCCGACTGAAGCCAAACAATTCTTATTTTGAAAAATTTGGGAAAAAAATGTCGGTCGGTTTTGAAAAATTGGTGAGAAAATGAAAAATTATGGGAAATTCAAAATCATTTTCAAAGTTTTGGTTTGCGGAACAGTCAGTCAGTAAAATGCAAGTGCGGGGTGCGGTCGGTTTCGAGTGCAGCTGGGGGATACAGAGTGGGTATTTTACATGTTTTGGGTTGATTACGTGGTATGGTGAAGATAAATCACAGAATTTAGGTTTTTTGGGGAGAAGTTTTAAATTCGGCGCCACATGCGAGGGGGCCGCAGGCCCCCGAGCCTTTTTTGTAGATAATTGTTAGATGCATTCTTAGTTCTGTACTTGGATTAGAAAACGCGCGAGGGGGCCGCAGGCCCCCGAGCCTTTGTTTTGATACTGCATAGATTCATTGTGAGCTGGATTACTTGAATCAGGCATGGCACCGCATACGAACCTTACATACAATTTCAAAAAAATCAAAAGCAAGAGTAAAAGAACAAGTAAACGTTCCAGAAATTAGGGGGGCCCGAAGGGACCCCCTAATTTCTGGTCCCCTTTCTGAATGTGAAAAAACATTTTTCTGTCTGTCTTTCTGTCTGTCTGTCATTCCGAAGCCAAACAATTCTCATTTTGAAAAATTCAAAGGAAAAATTCGGTCGTAATCGTGGGAAAATGGGAGTTTTTTGGGAAATTCAAAAATCATTTTCAAAGTTTTGGTTTGCGGAGCAGTCAGTCAGAAAAGTGTGAGTGCGGAGTGCGGTTGGGTTCCAGTTCAGGTGAGTGGTGCAGAGTTGGGGAACTTTGCATATTTTGGATTGGGTAAGTGGTACTGCGATAGGATTTTTTGGAATTTTGTTTTTTAGGGAAAGTGATGAATTTGGGTTAGGGTTTTGATGAAAACTCGGGAATTTTAGTGAGAGAAAGTTTTGGTTTGAGGAGCCGTCAGTCGCAAAAATGTGAGTGCGGAATGTGGTCGGGTTTGGAGTGCAAGTAAGTGGTGCAGAGTGGGGTATTATTGCATATTTTGGGTTGAGTACGTGGTACTGTGATAGGAACTTTGTTTTTAGGGGAAAGTGATGGATTTAGGATAGGATTTGACACGACGTTGGGAAACCTTTTCACATGCGAGGGGGGCCGCAGGCCCCCGAGCCTTCCAGTCCAGTCTTCACAGCATTCAGTATGAGACGTGGTACCGCATGCGAGGGGCCGCAGGCCCCGAGCCTTTGGAAAAATTTCAAAAGCTTTTGAGAAAATTCAAAAAGCAAGAGTAAAAGAATAAGTAAAAGTTCCAGAAATAGGGGGGCCCGAAGGGACCCCCTAATTTCTGGTCCTTTTGATTAATGCAAAAGAATGTCTGTCTGTCATTCCGAAGCCAAACAATTCTCATTTTCAAAAATTCGAGGCAAAAAATCGGTCTCGATTGTGGGAAAATCGGAATAATTCAAAATCATTTTCAAAGTTTTGGTTTGCGGAGCAGTCAGTCGCAAAAAGGTGAGTGCGGGGTGCGGTCGGTTTCGAGTGCAGGTGAGTGGTGCACAGTGTGGTACTTTTGTATATTTTGGGTTGACTACGTGGTACTGTGATAGGAATTTTTGGAATTTTGTTTTGTATGGAAAGTGATGAATTTGGGTTAGGGTTTTGATGAAAAGTTAAGAATTTTTGGAACTTTTTCATATGCGAGGGGGCCGCAGGCCCCCGAGCCTTTCAGGTAAAACTTTATGGATGCATTGTGAGCATGAGTACTAGAAGTAACATGGCACAGTGCGGTCGGGTTTGGAGTGAAAGTGAGTGGTGCAGGGTGGGGCTACTTTTGCATGTTTTGGGTTTGGTGTGTGGTACCGTGATAGGAATTGTAGAAATTTTGTGGTTTTAGGAAAATACGAATGTTGGGATAGGGTTTTGATTAAAAGTTAGGAATTTTAACAATTTTGATTCTTAGTGGAAGTGATGAACCTGGGATAGGGCTTTGACATAAAGTTAGGAGTTTGAAGCCGGGTTTGGAGCGCAAGTGAGTGGTGCAGAGTTGGGGAACTTTGCATATTTTGGATTGGGTAAGTGGTACTGCGATAGGATTTTTTGGAATTTTGTCACATGCGAAGCTTTGTCACATGCGAGGGGGCCGCAGGCCCCCGAGCCTTTCAATTGAAACTCTGTGGACTCATTGCCAGCTTGGCTACTTGAATTAGGTATGGCACCGCTTGCGAGGGGCCGCAGGCCCCGAGCCTTTTGTAAAATCTCAAAAAAATCAAAAGTCTTACTTTTAGTTTTTTAAAAATTTTAAAAAGCAATAGTTAAAAGATCAAGTAAAAGCACCAGAAATAGGGGGGCCCGAAGGGACCCCCTAATTTCTGGTCCCCTTTCTTTAAAGTAAAAGAATGGACTCATTGTCTGTCTGTCCGGTCGGAATGAAGCCAATCTATTCGTGCGCTGATTGGTCGAAAAATCGCGGTCGATCTCGTGGGAAAATGGGAATTTTTGGGAAATTCAAAAGTCATTTTAAAAATTTTTTCTCGGTTTGGCAGTCAGTCAGAAAAATGTGATTGCGGGGTGCGGTCGGGTACGAGTGCAGGTGAGTGGTGCAGAGTGGGGTACCTTTGCATATTTTGGGTTGAGTACGTGGTACTATGATAGAAATTTTAGGAATTTTGTTTTTTGGGGACAGTGAAGGATTTGGGATAGGGTTTTGATGAAAAGTTATGAGTTTGGAAACTTTCTCACATGCGAGGGGGCCGCAGGCCCCCGAGCTTTTTTGTAGAAGATAAATGCAGGAGCGGAGTGTGGTCGGGTTCAAGTACAGGCTGAGTTTCCTGTTGTATAAATTCAAACAAAATTGGAATTTTTGAAAGTTTTCCACATGCGAGGGGGCCGCAGGCCCCCGAGCGTTTCAGGTAATAGGTAATCTTCTTTCATTTACTTTTTATTATTCAGTATGAGACATGGCACCGCATGCGAGGGGCCGCAGGCCCCGATCATGTTGTAAACATTCAAATAAAATTGAAATTTTAGAAAGTTTTCCACATGCGAGGGGCCGCAGGCCCCGAGCCTTTTGTGAAATTACAAAACAAAATAAAAAGCAAGAGTTAAAAGATCAAGTAAAAGTACCAGAAATTGGGGGGCCCGAAGGGACCCCCTAATTTCTGGTCCCCTTTCTTAATGCAAAAGAATGGCGCATTATTTGTCTGTCTGCAGCAAAAGTGAAGCCAAAGAATTCTCATTTTGAAAAATTCGAGGCAAAAAATCGGTCTCGATTGTGGGAAAATGGGAATAATTCAAAATCATTTTCAAAGTTTTGGTTTGCGGAGCAGTCAGTCGCAAAAAGGTGAGTGCGGAGTGCGGTCGGGTTTGGAGTGCAAGTGAGTGGTGCGGAGTTGGGGAACTTTGCATATTTTGGGTTTGGTATGTAGTTATGTGATAGAAACTTTAGGAATTTTGTTTTTTAGGGAAAGTGATGAATCTGAGTTAGGGTTTTGATGAGAACTCTGAAATTTTAGTGAGAAAAAGTTTTGGTTTGAGGAGCAGTCAGTCGCAAAAATGTGAGTGCGGAATGCGGTCGGGTTTGGAGTGCAAGTGAGTGGTGCAGAGTTGGGGAACTTTGCATATTTTGGATTGGGTAAGTGGTACTGTGCTAAAAATTTTTAAATAGAATTTTGTTTTTTAGGAAAAGTGATGAATTTGGGTTGGGGTTTTCATGAAAAATTGGGAATTTTAGTGAGAGAAAGTTTTGGTTTGAGGAGCAGTCAGTCGCAAAAATGTGAGTGCGGAATGCGGTCGGGTTTGGAGTGCAAGTGAGTGCTTTAATTTTTGCATATTTTGGGTTGAATTCAT